TGGCTGCCCCAGCAGAGGGGGCAGCTTTTTCTAACCCCCTGACACTGGAGGCAGCAGGAGCAGAGGGAATAAAACACAGACTATTAACCATACATGTAAATGGGTGGTAGTTTTAAGATCAGTCAAATGTTGGGGCCTTCACTGTCTGATTCCACGTGCTTAACCTCTGCTTCCTGAAGGCTGAATGTCCAGTGAGCTACATTTCCCCTTTGGTTTCCAAGGGGCAACTTTCTTATCCTAGGCTGAGACTGTCAAGACAGTTCTTCCTTCAGCTCTGCACTGATATTTTGTCCACATTGGTGCCTTGGAGGTGTGGGTTCCATTTAACTGCCAGCTGAGGTTATCTCCGTGAGCCTGCTGTGATGTGCAGACACTAGTGCTTGTTGGGAAAGGGGAATATATGTGTACACAAGGGCCATACATGTTAATTTAAAATGCTTCCAGGTTAAAATTTGAAAGCTTTCTTGACTCAAAAGGCCAGCCAATATTAGTTCATCTTTTACTTTTCATTACTTTTCTAAGAAGGTTAACCTTACTGGGCTGAAGGAGCTAGAGTACATATATATGCAAATAAAGGCAGATTTGGTATCTTTTGACTTGCCAGAAATCTGACAAGGATAAATTAAATTTCTAGTGCATGTTCTTAATAGAGCTAAAATATTATAAGCAGAAGAATGTGTCCACTCATTATTTAAAATTCTTCTATTTCTTTTGTAGGCTTCCTTTCTTGTTGATGAAGTCAGCAGCATCATTAAAGAGGTAATGTAAACATTTTCTTTTTGTTGGTGTGGAAATTTCATATGTTGAATGCTGTGTACTAAAAGGCATTCAGTAAAATGTGATAACTGATATGTAATAGATTTCTAGGCAGGTTGCTGTCAAAGTACAGGTAACTTGGTTAAACCAGTATATGGACTTCAGCGGAAATGAAACCAAGCTTTAGCTGTGATATATATTGAAAATCCAAGTAATTTCATACACTCCGCTCTTGTTGCAGTGCATCCCTATTAGAATTTGTAGGGGGATTTTTTTATGTTAAACACCGTAGAAATAGATTTTGTGTTTTAGTAAAATACAGGAGTTTTTTGTAGACTGTCTGCATATGCATGTTACTGTGTTCTGTTGAGGTGCTTTTCTCCTAAGTGAATTCTTGTTTGTTTGCAACGATTGAACTATTCTTGTTGCAAAGAAACATGAATTTTTCGGGCTGGAAAATTTCTAGCAGGATTTGGAATTCCTCTTATAGACTAGTGCATTCTTTTTGTCGTTGCAAAATAACTGTTCTGGTCCAACTCTGTAAGTTGCATATACTGCTTTAATACATGCTCCTGTCTCTTCTGAATTAAATTTTTTGGTTATTTTTAAAATAATTTCTATGATGAAAAATGTGCCAATGAAAAACATGTAGGTTTATTGTACTTTTATTTACATCTTAAAGAGAAACTATCCTCATAAGTAAAACTGATTATTTGGCTGGAGGCTTATTCTCTGTTAGTAACTAGCAACTACATGGGTCTTCTGTTTTAGTCCAGGGATTTGTCTCCCAAATATGATTCTGCTCAAAAAACTGGAATTTATTTCCATAGAAGAATATGAATGAATGAGCTATTGTACTGTGCCTTTCTAAATTCTCTTCAGGACTGTTTAAATGCAGGGCCCTTTTCGTAACTATGAATGTAGGACTTTACAAATAATCTTAAATATCACAAAATGAATAGAGCGTGGGATCTATGATGATTTTTCCTATGCCTGGCTCAGACTCTGACCTGCATGTTTTTAATAACTGAAAACACTTCCAACAGCCAGTGTGGACCAGCAGTATTTAGGATTTTTGTGTGGGTATGGGGTCCATGTTGGAAAGGGTTAATGGGTGCCTTGCAGTTGACAGCAGTGCAGCTCCTTCACCTGTTTGTCCCCTGCAGGCCATAGAGGGTGCTATCGGTGGCAATGCCTACCAGCACAGCAAAGTGAACCAGTGGACAACAAGCGTGGTGGAACAAACCCTGAGCCAGCTCACAAAGCTGGGGAAGCCCTTCAAGTACATCGGTGAGTTCAGCTTTGTCTTTTCTCTAAAAGCTGGGACAGTCAGATGCACCAGTAGGCAGGGGATGGGGGAAGATATTAGAAAGAACCTTGTCTGGAAACTACTCACAAGCGTGCATGTTTGCTTGTGTATGTGTGTGCTAAGCTGAGCAAAAATGGAGCTAAATGTTTAAATTAATGTTAGTGAGAAATTAATCAAAGCTTCTCTACTGAATAACAGTGACCTGTGTGATTATGCAAAAGAATGGTGCTGGGCTACATACAGCAAGCTCTTGCTTCTGGGACAACTCCAGTGATGGTAAGGAAAACAACTCTTGGATTTTCCAACTAGCAGCTTAATGCCAGTCTCTTTAAGAGTAGGCAGCATATTTTTCCCTCTTCCCAAGTTTGTAGTTTTGGAGTAATAGCATACTGTTAGGTATTTTTTCCATTTGGCTGTGATGCTAACTGGGCTGTATATTAAATGCTTGGCTGTTGTGAAAGCTTCATTTTGAGGATTCTTAAAGGAAACAAGTATAAAAATGCATATGGGGCATGCATGTAATCACTTTAACTTCCTTCTGTTTCTGATACCCTTATTTTTGTATTTGCAGGAACCTGCACTGTGAGATGGGAGAATAAGACCATGTACTGTATTGTCAGTGCCTTTGGACTTGCATTATAATTGCCTTGTTCATTCTTCTCTTTTCTATTCCATCTCCACTCAAACTGTGAATACCTGAACAACTTGTTTTTAATGCATTTTTTTAGTAACTTTTCTTCAAAGATAGAAATTTGAAAACATGCTGTTAACCTGTTTTATGTTTGTACCTAGTACCATACCAGTGTTTTCTATACTTTTTTATCACTTAAAAACTTCTCTTCAAGGTGCTAATACTGAAATCTGCTGCAGTGTAAACACTTTCTCTAGATTTCTTTTCTTAGACCAATATAAATGAGACACTGACTTTCACACTTTGTACTTTTGGTTAGCATTAAATTATTGAAATTCATAGCCATTGGTGTGATTCATTTAATCTTAAAATCTTTCATTACTGGGGGGAAAAGTTTCCATTTTTTTCAATTCTCTTCAAGATAGTTGAGGTACATACCACAATATAAAGCACTTACATAATTTTGCCGAAGTCACTACAAAGTTGCAAGAAAATTAGATTATATTTATCAAAAAGTAACTTGGCTGCATTTCTGGGAACTGTTTATCTTTTTGTATGGTATTTAGAGCATGGAACAATAACTATCTTCCCTGAACAAAGATAAGAAATTTTTCACAATCTGTTAAGAGAGCTTTAGTATGGGTTCAGTCTTCAGTCAGAAATGATACAACACCTGTAAAAAAAAAATATTTAAATCAGATTGAGTAACATGTCCAAAACAGTCATCAGGGTCAGAGAGAAACTTGTCATGAAAAGAATGAATCATTGCTCTCTTGAGTTGCTAAGGAAGTTTATCATCTGGATGCTTAGATACTTTTTCTCCTTTCCATCATGCCAGAATGATGCTGGCAGTGTAGTTACCTACTGAACTACTTATTTACACTTAAAAGAAACAGTTTTGTGTACTTTGAGTCAATATTTGCTTCTTGGTTAAGCCATTCAGACATTCCTTGTCCTTTATGTTAATAATAGCAAATCCCTTGGTCTTTTGGTGTTTGTGGGTTCATGCATATGCTGAGCTGCAAAAGAAACCCAACAAATGTTTGAGATGCTTGTCGGTGTAAAGGCTGCATGGGCGGAGAAACCCCTGTTGCATTAAAACCGGAGTTGTGCTACTGAAAGGTAGATACAGTTGTATAGGCGGTTTTAAATGTGCGCAATAACCGGTACTTACAGTGTAAGTTCTAGGGCTACAGAACAGGGTTTAGCGGCTGTGGATTTTTAGGTGTTGGTTTCCCATTCCCATGATTCAAACAGTGCTTTTCTTTAAAATTGCATAGCAATTACTGTTTCAGTGTTCTACAGTAACTGATTTTTTAAGTTTTCATTACCTTCAAACACCTTAGTTTTAAGCACTTTTTCCAGCCAAAATAAAGCATTTGGGTGATGAACTGTCAGAGTCCTGGCTGTAGGTAATTAACTGGCCTTAAAAAAAATAAACCCAAACTATGGATGGAGCACTCAAGGTAATTATACAGTCAGTCTCTGCTATCTCTTGCTTATTGCCATGGCTCTTCATACAATTACAGCTACAGAAGGGGGGCACGACAGCACCAGTATGCAGAAGAGGAGGAGGAAGAGGGAAGCCATTTACTGTCCCTGCCACAGATGAATCTGACCTGTGTTAACTAAAACTTAAGAAAATGGCTCCAGGATTAACTGCTGCTGCTGAAAGAGCACCACCCTATCTGATACTACAGCCACGAGTAAGCTGCATATCCATTCGTGCAGGGAAGTTTGTGGCCATTTTATTCAGCACAGGAAGATTTTGGTCTCTTCTTGAGTTGATACAAAAAATGGCATCACCCCAATTAGCAAGTGGTGTGCTGATCACTTCTGCAGTCTACCAGCTATGAGCAGACCTTTAGAAGATAGAGTTGCAAGAAGTCGATGAATGACATCAGCACTTTCACTATCTCTAAACCTGTTTTTTATTACTGGCATTAATATTCACCAGGAGAATTGTCACTGCCAGCATGGCCACAGCAGACTTTGCAAAGCCACACCGTGAAGCCATTTGAAAATGCCAGGTCCCTTACGTAACCTGGCTGGCATATTTTAAAAACTTAGCAACCTGTCCTTCCCCCTTAAGTCTGAACGAGGTAATAAACCCCCCCCCCCCCCAATAAACAACACAAAGCATCTGCGATGACACAGCTTCTTGGAGCCCATCCTGATGCAATTAACCAAGCTTAAATATGCATTAAAAATGCATGTAAACTGAAAATATATGTAAGTCATGAAAACAGTTTATGAGAAGGAAACTAAAATTCAGTAGAAGGAAAATAAACCTAGGATACAATATAAATATATAAAACTTTATTATGAACATATTTAACAATGATTTTGCACATAAGGTCTTCCAAGAAACTTCCTTGAAGTAAAATACTCCATTTTCCTTCATATTTCATATTAGCATGAAGTTTTACAACATAAACAGATAGTTTGCTATTATAAACACAACTTACAGATACACAGAATATTGAACATGTCCTCATGCACACTTTCTCAAAGCAGCATTTAATTACAGCTTCTCATTAAACAGAGCATTTGCATTTATCTTACACATTTTTATACCATTTTGGTACACAATTTTTCCATATTTTCATTTTACATATTTACAAACTCCTAAAAATAGTTTTACAGTAATGCAAAAGTTATTACTGGCATAAGCAAAAGGAAATGGTTGGGGAAATTAGGTGACTATGGATGAAATGTTGTTATTTGGCTCAGAGAAAGACTACAGATCGAAGTCTTTCCTAGCTGGAACTGTTCTCCCCAATATTGGTACCACAGATCCAGTGCACAAGCTGTTTCTCACTGGGGTTAAGCTGCCTCTTTGCCAGTCCCAGGAAAGTTTCCACCAATTTCTACACCAACTGTATTTGTAAAGCAAATGCTACAGAAAGTAGTTGCTATGACTGGCTTGCACTCAATTATTGATTTCTTAGAAGTCCCTTGTAATCACTGTGTACGTGGAAGTCTTGCAATTATTGATGGATGTTTCCTCTAGAGCCAGGATCACTGTGTGCTGTGGGGCCTTCCTGTGTACATTTCTTGTTTTGTACAGTTGCAGTGGTTATGGAAATAATTACTTTAGCAGCAATAAAAGGAAAGCCAGGCTAATTTCTTAAAAAGATTTCTTCTGTTTGACCCTTAGATTTCAATACTTTACTCAGAGATTAATTTATGCCACCTACTCCCAAACTGTTTACAGCCCACATTGGAATATTCTTCAAATACTGTCTCTGCTCTCCAATCATGGAAATAAGAGGAGTATTGCTAGCAAAACTAGTTCCTCATCTGCTTCATTGCTTTTGCCATCTTACTGTATATTGAATTTGATGCAACAGCGATTCAACCAAGCTACCATAACACTGTAGCACTTCCAAAATAGAAGGCTATTTTGCATGGTAAACATGCAAAATATATGCTTAAATATAATCTCTAAAAATAACCACAGAAATTATTCTCACTATGTTCATAGTGAGATACTTACTTTAAATACACATTTCCCATTCTTAGCTTTTCTATTTCCACTTCGAATGTAGTGATCTAGTGAAGTTTATTCAAACAAACCAGCAAGAGAAATGGGTTGAAAACAGCGTAGAAAAAATAATCTCCAAATTATATTAAAAATATGTTTTTTAGTTAATGAAATCCCAAGACACTATTTGAGAGTTAACTGTAACAACCAGTTCAGACTGTGACAAGAAATATTGATGTACTTTGCACAATGGTCAAATTTTACCTTTTATAACAATTTAGGAGAGAATTAGACAATATCATAGGAAAAATATTCGAGTATGTAAGAATTGTGTAAATATCAGTTTTTGAAAACCTATTTCCTGTTCCCACTGTTACTCCAATGGAACTTGAAAGTATTTGGCTTATGTAAACAATGTCAGATTGGTTGCCAAGTCTGATTCTGCACGTTCAAATGGGGAGAGTTATCTCAGAAATAGTAAAAATGAGAATGGACTCGACAATTTCAGGATACAGAGAATCTCCCATACCCTTTCAAAATAGTCTAAAAAGAAGTGCTGATGAAGGTACATTTTACTACAGTTTTCTGGAAAGAAAACTACCACTAACTTGAATTATTTCTTTAGTGTTTTCCTATATGTTCTTCTAAAGTAATACTGATTAAGAAGTTAAAGGGGAAAACCTGCTTTTCCTCCCCAGCAATTTCCTTGCTTTAGCCATACAACAGTGCTTTGGCTTCTAACAATGAAATGATCCCTGGCACAAAAAGGTTTTAATTTCAGATACTCTCCAAAAAATTTCACAGCGCTACATAATTTTAGAACATTTTCCCTCTCTCTCACACACACACACAATGTCTCACGACACATCTTTAACAGAGCACTGATTTAATCCAAACTATTCCATGACAGCAAGGGCACAATCACACAAATCAGTTCCTTTGGTCCTCTCTGAGTGAGTTGCTGCCTTGTGCAGCCTCCCCTTTGTGATCTTGAACATCCACCAGCAGGGCATTGCAATGGGCACAGTCTAGAGCCGTTGTTGCATTACAGCACAACAAATCTCCTTTTTCCCACTATGATTCAGCAAGTCTAGCAGGACTTCATTGCACTATTCTGCTTAAACTACTTTAATGATGAGCACAATTCCTGGCTGCAACCCAGCACCATATCGTAGTAGATTAACAGTGCTTTTGGGAATCTTCTAAAGCAGCAGGGCAGAGAAATTTTACAAGAGTAAATCTCCGTTATAAGTACATGAAAAAAGGAGATAATTTTGGAAAGGTCAAGTATCTGAAAACAAAAGTAGTTACAAACCAACATCTTAAATAAAGAACCAAACAATGGTGTAGGAGAAAATCAACTTCTAGAGAAACAGCAGCATTGTACAAGGAATACTTAATTCCCATAAAACTTTGTTCCAGCACAGACTGGAATACAGATAACCACAAAATGTGCTAGTAAAAGTTCCCATCATACAGACGGTGACCGATATGACAAAGAAGCTGAACTGTACACAGAACATGCTCACAAGCTGACTCAGGCACATTCAATACATGAGCAACCACAACTGTTCCTAGTATGTAGAGTAACTATGTATTAATACAACTTAAGGGAAAACTCATGTAGTGAAAAAAAACCTCTAAAAATGAAATGTTTGGAAATTTGAAACTGTAATTCCTTAGAAAACTTTCATATTTTATTCTCTGCAAGTAACAATCTCCTCCAGCATACCAGACCAGTAAAAAGCCAGTACTGGCTTCCTTCTGAGATTTGTTGTTATTGATACATTTCCATTTGAAAGGGCTGTTTAAAAAAACCAACACAGACACTTCTGCTGTGGCAGTAAAGCATGTCATGAAACACGTATTATACAAATAATTTTGCACCACTGAGATTATTCTGGCTCATTAAAACTTGCCTATTTGCCCATATCTTGCATTTATGAATCCAGTAAACTTACTGAAATGTATTTTTTAAATGGCCTGAAGTCTGTATCACTTATTTGAAGGAAGAATAGAAAGCTTGTGTCTTCTTGCACCGATAAAACAAAAAAAAAAAACCAACAAAAAAACAAAACAAAACAAAACAAAAACACCAAACCAAAACACATCATTGTCTGCCTCCAGCTTAAAAGGCTAAGGTAGAAAATTCAAAGGGAAATGAGGCACTTCATACCACTGTGGACACCATACAAAACAGCTAATGTAAAATGCAACAGATTTGGCAGTATGTTATACCTCATCCTAAAGAAAAAAAAAAAAAAAGAGGAAAAATCTAAAACTGAGCAGCAAGGAAGCAATTTGAAACTCAGTACACAATCTGTGAGTATTTTAAACTGAAATAGATGAAGATTTTAGTCCACTGACATCCAGCTATTAGGCATTTTATAAGACATGTAAAAATTTTGGTTTCTTCAGTTTTCACTACAACCACTTCCATCATTTGTTTTCTGAGTTTTATCCTTGTAAACAGAAACAGAAGCAGGATGTCCTTCCTGGGAGTTGGTGTTCAGATGACAGCAGACTGTAGGAACCCAAAGAAGTTGTCCATCTAGGAAAACTTCAGAACTGGCTGAACTCCAGAGGCACAAGTCTGTCTGCACTGAAACCAGTCAATCAATCACTGTCTGACTCTTCTTTATACTTTGCTCTAATAGCTTGGCCATTCTGAAGAGGCATTTCTTCATAGTCACTCCTGTGAAACAGACATGTGTTGTAACTTCTGAACATGGTGCTCAGATAGGAAGTTGAAAATAAAGAGCAAAGTTCTAAACTACATTGAGGCATCAAACTGTTACTTGGGTAAGAAGCTGGTATCTGTTTTTCTTCCTTGTGGGAGCTATCAACAACATGATTTTTCTACAGAGGATGATGCATAATAAAAGTTATTCCAGTGAAAGCCATTTTTCACATGGGTTTGCAAGAAGCAAGCTGGCACTACCACTCCTAATCTAACTAACCAAAGGCAAGCTATCCCAGCATGAACTTGTTCAGGTTACTGAACTGTTGGTCCCATCCTCACTGTTCCAGCCACTTCAGCGTCTTTGGTAAGAGGTGAAAACATCACGGGTGCATTTCAGTGTCCCACACAGAGAAACCTGATTAGGATAAGTCTCAGGTACTAGTGTAATGCTCATATTACATAAAATCATCCAAGTCAAGGAAGTTTTGCTTGACTTGATTATTTTTCATTCAGTAAGTGCTGGAGACTTAAAAAGCAGCACTCTCCTTCCCTGAAGCATTTACATATGAGCTGACTCTTTGCTAATTCCATCTGACTCCTTCAGTCCTTCCCAGTGTAAAAAGAAGCCCTTTCTCTTCACAGCTCTTACTCCACAGCTTCACTCCATGTGCTACCAGCATCATAATACTTTCTTACCTGTTTGTATCAGTGCCATGGCATTCCCTTTTAGAAACCAAAAAAAAAGAAAAAAACATGCACTCTCATTGTATTTCTGTTTCAGAAAAGGCTATACTTCGATTCTTTAGGCAGAAAATTTTCACTAACAAACCCTTCACTTAATTAATATGTAAAAGAACATTACAAAAATAACACACCAGAAGTAACTCTCCATAGGTATTTTTCAATCTTTCTTACCCATAAATCACATCATCATCTGAATCATTCAGCATAGAAAAAGCAGGATTGTCTTTCAACTGTGATTCTGGAAAACACAAATAAGATTAAATTTAGTGTGTTAAATAAATGTGGCTTTACTGCTAACTCAACACTGTAGCAACAGACACAACAACTTCCAAGGCAGTCACAACCACAGTTCAACAAAACTATATCCAAACAGGAATTATCTCCTTTAAATTCACTACCCTTCAGCCACATAATTATAATGTTCTTAAGAGTTAAGGAGACAACGTTAATTATCTTATTTTTAGGTAAATATTCTCCGTTGTCTAAGTTCATTTCCTCCCCTGTGCAATTTCCCGTGTCGTATTTCAACCTGCACATAAATTGATTATTCTTAATCAAAATTTCATATGTATTTAAAAAGCACAGACTTCTTGATTATTTCTAAGCTAAAAATATAGTAGACCAAAGTTGGAGTCCCTTGACTGCAAGTCAGTGATTATCCAGTTATTCTCTATTATTGAAAGAGATGAAGGAAGGACTTGTACCTTTATGGTGAGATGAAAAGAAACACATACTTTCCAATTGCTATTTATGACAATTCCCTCTAGCTTGTTTTAAGGGCTTATTTTCTTGCATAATCTGTGCTGCTTAGCTGCAGTTCGTAGTTATATGCAAGTAAAATTCAATCTGCCAATTTGCCATAGCAACGTTTTCCTGGCAGCATTTTACCTTCTGTTGTCTACAAACAAGTATTTCTGCAACCCAGCAGAAGGCTTCCAACTTTATCTGCATCCAGCCAGTTCTTTTTCCATTCTGGATGGAAAAATAGCAACTTTCTGGAATAGTTTTGTCCATCTCAACTCTAAATCAGAGGAAGGATGTGCTCCACTATTTAGTGCCTCCCCCCTCCAAGCTCTCAGCATACAAGATACAATTGGACAGGTTGCTAGATCATCTCATCTAGGCCTCCTTTCCCATGAAAGGTTGGGCCACATCATCTTGCCAGGTCTCTTCCAACCTGGGCTCTTCTATGGTTCTGTACCTTGAACAGAATGCTTAAAGCAGAGAATATACTCAGTAAAAATATTTATTTTAATGATCTTTATCTTTTAGTGAGGGAAATGCTTTATAATCATCATGTAAGTCAGACTGTATCCTTTACATCACAGTGCAAAACCAGAATTGCCACTGACTCAATCGTTTGTCTCCCCTTACATGGGCCCTGTGCAGCCCTCCCCATAGCAAGTTCTCCAAAATTTCTCCCATATTAGAGACCAATTTCACTCGCACTTTTCCAACAGCATTTGGATTTCAGAGTTCAGTTTGCCAGCATGCTGATGTATTAACTTTTGTTAGAACGAAGTACAAACGAAGTGAAGTTGTTCCTTAAGGGCTGTCTGAGTCATTTCAAAAGTTGGTGCATTACATGTAAATATCATATTGACTGTAAACTTGATCTAAGTGCACAAGAATTCAAGCCCAGCTAGTCAGCTGATTACATTTTATGTGTTCCTTCAAATTTCCAATACTAATTTTCACAGGAGCAGCAAGTGCAGCTTCTGCTCATGTTAACTCAAAGCAAACTGGAACAGTAATGAGACAACCAGAATACAAAGACATTGCACAGCATCTGCTAATATGGCAGTTCTTGTCATCCACGTTTTCCAGACAATGGCTCACACTTACCATACAGTGCATTCTTCGAGGGGGAATACACGAAGGCTAATGTGTAGAGATAAAAGTTCAATAACCCATAAAATGATAAGAATTCTGCTGGTAATAAGTGTTAAGGACATTGCTCAATATAGTTCCATACATATTAACTTCCAACCCATACACAGGCTGTTTCAATAGAAAGAATGTTTACCTTACTCGAGTTTGTGAGCATGAGTGGCTAAACAAAACTGCATGTTTTAAATTCAATGACAACTAATGTACTCAACCTATTTCAAGATAAAGCTCCCACTGAAAACAAAGCTTTAACACAAGTAACATTTGCTGAGGTACTCCTCTGCTCTTGAGCAGTGGAGTGTATGGTCAGTCAAATAGTTCTGCCTTGAATGCTGAAAAAAGCAGAATAAGTCGGGTGTTCAGGTGGGTTTGGCTTGGTTTATTTTCAAAAAAGTTCCTTGGCACAGTGAGGAAGAAGGAAGGAGAAAGAACTACATGTGGATAGAACTCTGAAGATGGTTTCTTACCACTGTTTTAGGTGAATACTAAAGGTTTTATATATTGTTTTCTCCTACCTCCCAACTCATACCTAAGCTAACCAGTAACCAGGGCAGCTTCAGTCACACAGAGCAAGGATCTCATGGTTCAGGACAGGAATTCAAGTCAGAATCCTGCTGGCAACAAACATCAGAAATAGTCTCTCCCAAGCCACTCAAATTCTCTGCTGTGACCTGTATCACATGTAGCCTTGGACCAATACACAAATGCATTTTGACTAACATCAAAATTATTAATTTCTCATATTTTAGTATGCCCCATGATAACGGGCAAGTAGAAAGCAAACAACTGCGGCAGCACATACAGCCAAATTTGCCATAACATCTCATTAAATTAGATATGCATAAAGCATGCATAGCTACGACTTCATTCCTCTTGAAGAGTATCACAAGCAGTTGTGATGCATGTGATGTGGACACACTAGACTGAGACTGTCTAGATCATAATTTTTATGAAGAACCATTGCAAAATGCTGACAGGAAATAGCAAACAAAACAGACTCAACTTCAAGAGTCCACCTAGAAGTCAAAGGTCTCAGTCTTAGGTACATCATTTTAAAGCACATTCTGCCTGAAAACAGATTAACATTCCTACTTGAGCAGTATCACAGTACAAGGATATAGTTCTGATAATGAGTTGACAGCTCAGCAACAAAGTTGTCCTGTAGAACTTGTGCTCCAAAGCGCAGGTAGAGTATAACAATGCTGTGGGGAAAAAAATAAAGCATATAGATATACTGTGTCCTTAGGCTGCAAAATTGAAATAGTAGGTTGATAGAAGAGTATATGAGAGAATAATTATGCTAACATGCTGACCGTTTATTTTAAGATACATTTGCTTTGCTAGTTCTAAATTAAGAATGATTCTTTTGTGATTAAAAGTTAGCACTCAGCTGAGAAAAGCAGAAATCCTCAGATTTCATCCACTACAGACAATCCAATAGTCAACAGCTTTTTGAAATAACAGCTTGGTGTAGGGAAAATAGATATTAATAGTAATGTAAGAAATTATTCTGCTTTGACTAAGTGAAACCTACAAAGCTCCTGAAGAGCTCTGCCAAATTAACTTCTAAATCCAGCACTAGCATGGTAATCAAAATAATACAAAGTTAGCTCAAAAAAACTCAAGAAGAGTTAAAAAATTAAGAAATGCTTGCCATCACAATAATATTAAAAGGTATTCTTCAGTTTCATTTACTAATTTATTACAACAAAATGTATTCAAAGCCCTGAAAAAAAGGTTAGAAAAGCTAGAGTACTGACAAATGTACTTTGAAAAGCCTTACCTAATGACAAGCACTACAAAGGTTAATGCAGTCAAGAATTTTAACCTGAGATCTGAAAAAGAATGTGAGAAATTTTTATCAGTGAATTTACACCTACATCTAGGAGAAGCAAGCTTGTTTGGGAAGAATCAAAAGAAGTACTGCTTACCAACATAAGGCATGTTTCGAAGTTCTGAACATGCCCTCACAATCAGGAACAAAAGGTAGAGAATGTACGTGGTTGCCACCACAAGGAAGAAGATTTTCATTCCCTATAAGGAATGGGAAGTTAGGTTTTATTATTTAATAAGAGTTCATCTATTCCTTCTTCTGTCAACAGAAATAATTAGTTCCCAAAAGTACAACATAGAAAGGTCCACTTATGCAGGGAAAGTAGGCTCATGAAACAAGGATGGTAATACATTCAGGTTTTTGAGAAATGTAAAGAAAGGATGTTTAATAGAAACCAGGATTTTGTTAACTGTATTCAGAGTTGGCTGAATCTCAGTAATTTTCTAAAAACACAGCTCCCAAGGACAATACAAGGACCCATGCACATCAATTCTTCCTTTACAACAAGAAAGTCTGAAATTTACTAGGGTAGGGGACCTTGGCAGGAGTTAAGATGTACAAAACTGAGTAACAGACTAAAATTTTTTTCTTTCAATCCCAACAAACTTGTGGTAGCTAGTCTCCATATTTGCAAGACAATTTACTTTTCTCAAGGGGACAGATATCAATACGGCCTATACATGATCTAAAGCAGAACCAAAAGTACTCTAGTCAGAATAAGACTGCCTGACCAGCATTTTCTGTTTTCTGAACTTTGTTTAACATTTTTATAAAAGAACAGGCCCCGGATCTCCTTATATTGCCTAACTGTACCTGACAATTGGACAGCAAGAGGTAATTTCTGACTTACCTGGAAATTACCTGTGTCAACCCTGTATTGATATGTAGGGTCATGTACTTCGTTCACACTAGAACAGATTCAAAATGAAAAAGTGGTATTAAAAATGCACATTTCCAGACAAAGTTAAAAAGACAAGCTGACCAAGAAACCCACTCACAAAGAAAAGTTTTAACATTACTATGTAGAGTTTATAACAAAAGGATTTCGCTGTGTAAGTTAGCGCAATGCCATTAATTCCAATGAAGTCATGACAATTTACTATATATAGCAAACTAAATTTGAAGAAATATGGAGGATGTAAATTAGGATCGTAATTTTTATGATCCTAATTATTTTTTAGAAAATGTGTATCATGTAAATTCCTACAAGCCTTCAGGATTCCTACAAGTCTTCACGTTTCAGAATCTACATTTTATCCTTAGAAAATTGTGGCATGAGGCCTTCCCTCATAGCAATTTTACTAATAGCACGAGCACTTCCTGCAACTGCACTGCTTTCAATAATGTACAAGGGCAAGGAGAAGGTATCTTCCTTCTGACATAAAATAAGAGGCAAATAATTGAGACTAAACCAGTATGGAAACTGCAGGTGTACTAAAATGGAGGAAGTTTTCCGGGTGGGGAAGAATGACACCTTTATGTTAACACAACAAATTGGAAAAAATGGAGAACCACTAAACCAAGCAAAAGAAGAATTCTGAGTAAAGACAGAATAGCTTGACTAAGCCATGTCAGTACTAGTAGTGCAGGTTTAATAGTCAAGAAAGTCTGGTCAAACTATGTCCATAATTAGCTACAGAGAAACTGTTGCTTCAGCTACTAAATGCTATTTGAGCCATAGCACTAGAGTGATTCTTGTAGGGAGCCATAATATAGACATAACTGACACAGTGGTCATTTCTAGATCGCACTCAGATTTATGAAAGTATTTAGTAGTAGGTTGTCCAGGGAGAACTGTTTTCAAATCAGTCACAATTTGCAGAACAGAAAGATGTAAGAATTTGAACTCCATTCCTGTATCGCAATCTGAGCATTAAGAAATAGGTACCACTAGGTGTGGGTATTCTCCTTGCTTTTTCTACCTCTGTTGGGGTCAGGATTGAAGGCACTTGAGATGATAGTTTGCATTTAGACTCAGGTGTTTATTGCTTCTTATCAGTGCTACCGGTACACCCAGTCTTCTCATTCTGGAACACTCAGCTCATACATGTGCAATACATTTTAAATTACTTACGTTTGCCATATTCCCAGTGTAACAGAGGCCAGCCACAACAGTCCAACAATAAAGAATTTGGGCAGATAGAAAGTTAAGCACTTCCTTTCCCCCTGTTAAGAAAACAATAGTGTAGTGAAAGTGTGAACCCACCCTTGAGATTTCATTAATTCTTGACAGAACAAAATAATTATCATCTTTGTTTCACTCAACATGAACTGGATTAAGAGACTCATCTTTTACATTTTTATCCTGCACAAGTGACTAGAGAAGACATTATATTGTACCATCATTTGTGTTAATGAGATAAAGTAGAGTTGGAGCAACCTGTTTATAAGGTCCAACGTATTTCACTGATAATGCAAATACAGGTATAGGCTCCAGAATTCCTACTTATCTTATGTAGTATCTGAAAGTAGTTTAAAAAACCAATCAATTACCACATACAATATCAAAAATCTTCAAGGAAGAATGAAGCATAATGGCATCATAATTCTGATGACTGTTCCATCTACTTAATTTAGGCTTGGTTGACTCAATTTACTTCACTATAAATCCTTCTAACTCCAAGGCTTCATATGTTACATTGTACTTTATCAATAAAATAACGGTCTGTTTTGTAAGAATTTGATTTCATTTTTGTCACCTTTTGAGAGAACTAAACAAAACAAGTTCTGTCTCCTCAGTAAGTAGAAGATACTGTTGCCTCTTTTACCTGTACTCTTATACCATGGTAGACACAAAGCCAGAACAACAACAGTGCACACAGAAACAGTGACTGGAATAGATCATCCAGCATTCCAGGAAACCAGCTGTTCACCAGAAAAGAAAGGGGGAAAAATGGATCTGTAACAAAGAGAGAAAAAACCCTTTCAGTATGAAAAGTAAAGCAGAATCTATCTTCAGCAGAACAAAAAATAATACTAAATTTTTTTCAAATTACACCAGTAAATGAAACTGAAGCTTGCTTTATTTTAAATTAACAAAGAAAATGAAGATAATCTTGAATGGTTACCATAATTTCTAGAAGATTTCAGGTTTTATTAGACTTTCTACTAAACCACTGTTAATGGTGACAACCTAAAAAATTATCATATAATGTCTAAGATGCAAATACTAATTTGGTATTGCTAGGAAGTGCTAGAATTTGCTGTGTTTTACTGGACTAAAATTAGCTTCCATTTTTAACTAAAGTGTGAATATCTAAAAAATGAAGACAACAGCAGACAAACAGAAATGGAAAGGTTAAGTATGGCAGGCACCTATTCCAATCAGAGCTTTAAACAAATAGCTGACATCCATGTGACTGAGAAGAACAAAATCCACCCACTTATTACGCCCTTGAATTTGCTACACTTGGGATGGGTTGGGTTTTTTTTAAATTTTGTTTTCTGAAGATTTATAAACAATTGCTCATAAGTTCAAGGAGAAATTCCATTTTGTCTTCTCTATCTTTTTTTTTTCCTGCTTCTATTTTAAAAAGGTGCCTTTCTAAAAATTCAAGGATATAAGTACCATTGTAAAGCAGCAAGAGAGGAAGTAGGATGGACATCCATTTCTGCTCAATACCCCAGTCTCTCATGGAGAATTTCCGCAGGGAATGTGCAAACAGACACTACAAAACAACAGCAACACTTCGTAAGGAAGGAATACAGCCTTCAATGGCTTAACCAGAGCTAAGAGGGAGCACAGCACACTGCAAAGGCCTTTGCCACTGAGAACACTGTAAATGGGAGCCAGGTGTCCTTGTTTCCATTTCAAGTTTGCTCACTGGCCCCAATGCAAATTACCTATTTTCTCAAGCAAACTGAAAAGTAAACCAGCCTGTACCTGAAAAATCAACAACATGTGAAAAATAAGATGTTGCCTCGTTATTGGTCACACACTATCAACAACATCCACTTGAATTCAATTTTTTAAAAAACAGATTGAATTTTATATTTACAATTATCTGAGCAACATCATCTGCAAGAAAAATGCTACGGAAGCATGCAGTACTTTGGTGTCTCTACTCTGAAAATTCAGAATTTTAGGGGTTTTTTTTTTGGTTTTTTTTTTTTTTTTACAAACACTTCTTTTCCAGGAGCCAAGACAGGTTAGAGAGGAGACATCATCTAAATCATAGCATAATTTAGGTTGTAAGGGACCTCTGGAGGTCATCTGGCCCATCCTCACATGCAAGACAGCAATAACTTCAATGTTAGATCAAGGTCAAATAACCCACACTCTGGCCATCCTATTCCTGAGCTACCTCCACTGCAAAATAATATTTTTCTTTAGCATCTCCTCACAATTTTCTTTGTCTAAGCAAATTTTTTTCTGTTTAATCCAAACCCAGAGTTCAGAAAAACAAGTTTTCCCATTTATCTTATTTTCTTAATGTCCCTTCAATACCACTTGTTAAAACATAAAAGTAGCAACTACGTCAGTATTTCAGAAACATTTTTACACTCATTCAGTGACAAGTCAACTTTGCCACCTGGGGTTAAATTCCTAAACGCAGCATTACAGAGCAGTGTTATCAGCTGCCCACATAATAAAACTCCAGAAAAGCTGCAAAAAAATCTTACCGTGACCATAAAAGTAAGAACTACAAAGACAAATCGGAACCATATTTCCACTTGTGAAAAGGTTGGATTATACGTCTTCCACTACAAGAAAACAGAAGAGCCCAATGAGTAGGATTTTGACAAACTATCTATGACATCAATAATTGGCACTTTACTGCAGATACTGAAAAGTTCTGTGGGTTTTCAAAATTCAAAGGTTTAACCAAATTCCACTATGTCACCATGGAAAAATAAAGACAAATCTGCAATTACAGGACTATATGATAAAAAGATAAGAAAAGCAGCCTAATAGTCTTGCTTCTCTTTTATCCTGCCACTTCTAACATACTGCTGTCATATGTTAAAGTACTCTCAGGACAAATAGGATAGCCTTCATTGATCTCAACTGCACTTTCAATAAAAGTTTGAATGCCAATAAATGAGTAAATCCAGTGTGTTGTTCTGCACTACCAGGGTCAGATGCATAAATTGATTATAAAGAAGTCAGAGAGGTACAGAGGTCCTTCCCATAAGAGTCTATTTTGTTGAAGCTTACTCACTTGTCTCAGAAGTTAGAAAAGAGAAATCCATGTAAAGGAAGGATAAGTAGCTTACCAGAAACACAGAAATCTTTACATAGGTTAAGGGGGAAAGCCTCTTTCTTCTACTCTAATTATTAGAAGGCATACATATTAATTATAACATGTCAGTTTACATAAACTGTGCTCTGTTGACAATTTATCTCATACCTGGCATGCTTCTGAAGCCATTTTTGAAATGTAAGCTCCCTGGCACAACATATGCATGCTCTGCTCATCTGAACAAGCTTTACCTTTCAATGTATTAAATCTGTCAACCTCTGTCTCGTCTTTTTAGACTGTAAATGTAGAATGAAAATTATATGTAGAGAAACCTATTACACAAAAGGCAATCCATTGATTTCAACTGAGATCACCATAAACAATTGGAATTATGAAATAAATGTGACAATTTTAGTTGCTGCAGGAAAATTTGGGTTGGAGTATTTTTGGAATTGCATAGAGGTTTGCCTTTTTAAAGGCAGCCTGTAAAGCAAGATAAAAAACAGTACAACTATAAATACTTTGCTCTGTTTGAATACTGGAAGTAAATAAAGGGTTTGTGAGCCTAAGGTTATTTTCCCCTTAGAGCTTATTTTTAATTATATGCTTTATGCACTGGAGTACTAAAAATATTAATATTTAGAAAGTTAATTTGTTATATTAAAAATATTTTTCCTTTACTGTTAGATTTTTGGTTGCTACCTGCTCTGACACATGGAATGCTATATACAGGTAAATAACCAGAGTAACCTGTATTATAAACTTAGTTTAGTTCCCTTTTCTCCTAATGCAAATGTTTCTAACTTTCTTTCTGGAGTCAAACAATACACATGATATAAGTGTTTTGTAAGCAATCTTTAGCGCTATTAACTGAGATAGTTATTCCTGGAGAATATTGGACTGGAGATAATTTGAGTGGACAATTGAGTGAATTATTTTAGTAACCTGCTTGTGTTAGTTAAAAAAAAAATCTCTTCCTCAGAAGCACAGTGTACCCCATTAAAAAATCTCTTCATTTTCCTTTGAGTTAGTTAAACCTTTCCAGCCCTCCCTTTTTTGAAGTCTGGAAAATTTTGATATAAAACAGGATCCAGGTCTCCTAGTTTCTATTTCATGCTTTTCAGCCTCCTGGAGAGGCTGAAAAAAATACCATCCTGCATACAGGCAGCATCTCTATATGCAAATGCAGAAAACTGGATGTTCTAATCCAGCTTGCCTATTGTAAAAAGTATCTCCCAGCATTCAGACTAAATTTATCTATTACAGAATACAGCAGCAGTAATTCTGAGAGAATTTTTTTTCCTTTTAGAGTTAAAAAATTGGTCTAGACCCTTATCAACAGTAAATGCTATAACAGCTCTGACATTAGTAGTGACAAAAAAATAATTATGATGCATTTTTTAATTTGTCTTCAAAAATCTGATATTTTTTGTTACTGTTAAAGCACACGTCTACAGCATTAAAGAGACAGCATTAAAGAGACTTCTTTTACAAGACTAAACCTTTATACTTACAGTGAAAGTAATATTCTGGATGGTGTAGGTTAACTTGTTTAGATCTTCAAAGCTAACAAATATGTTGTACTGAGTGTAGTTCAGATAGCCCAGGTGAACAACAATGATTTCACTGCATTTCTGTGAACACACACAGAGAATAGTACATAGAAGTCTTAGACTACTACAGAATATGCACTGTTAGTATGGGTTGGAGAATTTGTTCCTAAATTGTCCAATATTGATGATATTTATTATATATTTCACCAATCTCATTCAGTCTAATCAAAACTCTCTTGAAACATACCAGAGAGAGCAGAAGAAACTGATAAATTCAGTCAGGTGGATCAGTGGCTGAACAATAAACAGTGCCAGCTTTTCATGTGAGCCAGTGACAGCAACTGCTTTCAGCAGCAGTATGGAAGCAAATAACTCTGTCACTAACTCAGCTTGAGTTAGTGAGAGGGGGCTAACTAACTAATGTAATAACTAATTTTTAAAAGTTATCAGGAGGAAAGAGAAAAGCCAAGTACATTGCTCTCTTGGCTGTGTAATTAAATCTAAAGGAGCAGTATTAATTTCTGCAAATTTCATAGATATGTGCATTTATCTATATAAAAAGAAAACACTTGTTTTACTATATATGCTTATCATAAAAAACTTCAGCTATGTCCTTCCTAAAGGATTTGCATCTGGAGAAGCTGTTTTGAATGTCTTTAAGCTTAAAAAGTTCAGTGAAAATTACATTAGAATCTCCAAACGTTTCTTCACACTGGCAAAAAATGTGGCTTTTTCAAAACACAGATGCCAGCTGATTGCAAGCAGATTCTGCAAGGTGTTGGAGAAGAATTTTTCTCTCCTCTGGAACCCCATATCAAATCTTCTGCTACAACATTCCTTTCTTCAGTACTGCTCAACCTTAAACAGGACCCACTGCTTCACTGACAAAGAGCAACTCTAACAAGAAAGAGGGGTCTTTAACGGGCTATAGACACAAATTACAGAAGTAAACAGAAAAACGATGGACACGTACGTGTCTTGTCAGCGTTACTGCCTACATTGCCATTATAAATAAAACTGTCCTCTAGAGTCTTTCCTGAGACGTGTCTAACAGGTGCATTCTTATTTGCAATGTAAAGTAGCATGCACACAGATTTAAAGAAAATGCACTACATCGGAGCTTTGTTTAAGCAAGTGCATACTTGTGCACAACTGAGTAACCTCGTCCGATTGTGAACTTGATTGTTAACGTATGGTGTGCTTCCATCCTTCACCACCCCCAGGACTTTGACTGTCATGGTCACATTCTTCTTGAGGGATACTGGAATTAAAACAGAAAACATTCATCTATTGCTACATGCAGAAATTAAATCTCAAATAGAGGTCCAAAATATTTTAAAACACATATGCTATCCAAATGCTACTAAGACTTACCCAGTTATATACTACTGGAGTATTTTTATACATAGACAGTAAGTCACAAGTGCTGTACTGAATCTTGACAGATTAACAATTACTAACACAGTATTTCTCACATATATACAGGGAAGCTGTATTGAGAAATCAGTATCATTACAATCTACACATCTAATTCCCCCTAAAATGAAAGAAATACACAGATTATCTAGATACTATTGTTTTCACAAAGATAACAAACAACTTGTCCCCTACTGCTGTTGCTTACAATTCAGTCAGTGCTGTCCATGTCTTTACCAAGGGAGGGGGGTGAGGTGGAAGAAAAGCATATCAGAGGAAAAACCCACCAACCACAGCCAGAAAGCAACAGGATCATGTGTGCGACAACTGGAATTAAACATAAAATAGACAGGTTGCTATAGCAGTTTCCAGAGAATTAGGTCAGATTCTCACCATCGTGCTGATCCAACTCAACCACACAGGTCAGCCACAGCTGCTGGTTGTAAGTTGACAGTGGCGGTGAACTTAAATTAAATGGCTTCAGCTGTAAAAAAACCCAAAAGGTTAGCACCAGCCTTTACACTGTTACATGACATGTCTGTAGTCACAACTATGAAAGGCATGTTAATTATATTTGTGACAATGTTTTTAAGAAGAGATTTATGTGCGCTACTCTGTGGGACAGCGTGATAAGCAGCTTACACAGAAGTGTTCCAGAGAAGTAGCTTAAACAGCACATGTATTTTGCAAAGCACTGAAGTAAGGAAAGGTTGCTACCTAAACCTTACAAAAGCAGCAGCAATAAAATAGAAAAGTTCAAATGTGACAAAAAATCCTGAGACCTAGCCTAAGTATAAGAAATTATTTTTAGCACTTTACATCAAAAGTCAGATTTGTGGGCCTTCATCTGCTACACAGTTTTAAACTTGTTAAACTAGAATTACAAAAAAGCCCTGTTTTCCACTAGGTTTTCTAAAAATTCCACATTCAGTTCAAAAGAATGAAAGGTATCATTAACAGATAAAACCTACACACAGGAAAGACTTCTCTTATTAGAAATCAAGATGTGCTTGAAAAAAAATAAAACCCACCCACAGTACTGTATCAATCCAAACATATATAGGTGACTGGTAGGTACAAAAAAATAAAGAAGTGTACTAGTGTATTTAAAGGAAATGCGCTTTAAGAAAAAACCCACAACAAAACCTTTTTAGCCCTTTCACAAAAAAATACTTTAGATATTAGGTAGACAATGAAGAGCTAAACAAGCAAAAATTCAAGAACTGAGAACCAAAATATGAAAGCACTTGAGAATATGTGAATTTACTCTTAGGAAGCCAGGTCCCATGTCTCAGTCACATGATAGTGAACAATTAACATGAAATATTTCTTTATAGATGAGAGAAAGGGAAATCACAAGAGAGATAGCATTAGTTGTCACCGAGTGCATTGTTTTCAATGCATGTTCTCAATTTCTATTTCTGAACCCCCGACAAGAATCTCCAACATTAATTTACCAGGGAAAAACTCATGTGCTTCTTTATCAGAAACCTCTGTGCAGAAACATACTAGAAACTTCTACTTGACCTGCTAACAACAGTAAGAGACCAGAAATTGCTGCTGGGCTATTCATGAAGTAACATAGTGGTAGTACAATATTGCATGTTCAGCTTCAAATTGGAAAGCACCACTTAGATATTCTGCAGTAAATTTTAAATATTTAAAATAACTGAGGGGAAAGAGGGAAATATAAGAGGGAAGTGTAACATTACTAACATCAAATAAAGCCAATAATATAATCCAACAATATTTATTAACTCTTACCTTTAGGCTATTATTTAAGTCAGTTCTTGCTACAGAAGTTTCAATTACATTAGGACCTACACAATATATAAGAAGGAAGAAAGAAAATAAGATTGAAGTATACATACAAGTGATGGTGTAAATACAGGTTTTCAAAAGACTGTACAAAACACCTCCTGCAAAGCAGGTAAACAGTATTCCACTTTTCAGATAAAGGGTAAAGCAGCCAGATATTTCAATATAATTTGCAAATTTGACCTGCATGTCCCTTTAAGCATCTCTGCCATGGTATTTCTACACATTATTAAATAAAGTAAGTTATAAATCGAGAACTCCACATCAAAAGCCCTGAAAGTGTACTCTAATCTACTACAATTTTAGTAGTAGTTTTTTATTCATAGATATCTCTCTTTATCGATATCGATATCTATATCTATCTATATCTATCTATCTATCTATATATATTTCCTAGGATTTTATGGGAATGCAGTCGTGAAAGCACTCAGCTAAAGAATCCCCTTGTTTAATTAGATGAGGCTGCTGAGGGCCATGTCCAGTTAAGTCTTTAACATCTTTAAGGACAGAGACTCCCACAACCTGTCTGGGAAACCTGTTCCAGTATTTAACCACCATTATGCTAAGAAAAATTCCTAATATCTAACTGGAATTTCTTGTGCTCCAGCTTGTGTTGCACGTCTGAGAAAAGCCCCATCTTCTGCATAACCCCTGATAAGGTGGTTCCAGACAGCTGGACAATTTCCCTTTAGGCATGCAAGAGCATGGGGTAAGGAGGACAAGAGGAATGCACATATGTTTGTGTTCTTATGTACATAAAACATGAAAGAACTAAACCAGAAAAGTGACAGGGAAGAGTAGGAAAAGATCTGTATCTATACAGCAGGTTGTGAACACACACAGAGAAGATATATAGCAGACAGGGACATGAGCAAGACATAAACACCTGTATTTGGGGCAGGAAGATTCCTCTGTCCAAATGGTCTCTCCCTGTATATATTTGGTCTGGCAATTTAATTAATCTGGAATTTTTTAACCCTCAAAATATGCTCTTTCAATCACAAACTCAGTATTATAAAAATTATGGAAGAAAAGCAGTTTCTCACACAGACCAAACATTTCAAATCACTACAAAGAAAGAATGGAAAAGAGGGAAATTTATAAATGAGCAGCATGGGATCATGAACCAGATTTTTGAATGGCATTTTTTGTTTTAAAAGGCAAAACTGAGTTTCAGTAGGCATTCACAGTTGGTAAGTCATCATATATCAGTAATTAAGTCTTGACAAAACAAATAGAATTAGCCTTTTTTAATTGGAAGATATAAACAAATATTGGGACAGAGAAATCACAAAGTTCTTAAGAACAGCAACCACACAAATAATGAAGCTCTAGTGCTATAACTTCTTCTTCTCTAGCAAGTGATATATAAAAGCTTTTGAAACAAAATGATGCTGTGGCTGCATTACTAACAAATGGAGACTAATTTAAATAGTTACTGTTTTTCTTTTAGTCTTGCTCACTTAACATAATAACACATAAAGGCAAAGAACTACCCTGAGTTGATGAACTGTACAGCTTCAGAAAATGAGTTCTGCACCTTGGATTTTCTTTGAACTTGTCTCACCCCAAATATAACACAGACCCATTGTGAAAAGAGAAAGAAAGGCCAAACAAGTCTGTGTCTGTTTTGGGTTATGGGAACTGAAAGAGCAGCATCCATCTCTGATCAAACTGTCTTGATTTCTCAGATGAAAATCAAGAGTTCTGCCAGGCTTCCCAAACTGCAGGTATAGATGTTGTGTGTGGGCAATGGCATATTTAAGTAGCACAGAAAATATTGACGTATCTCCCACTCTTTCATTTACTTAGTGGGTTCGGTGAGCTTTTCTCAGACTGTACCCTTTAATGAGGGAGTATTCTCTTGTTAGGGCCCCTCCTTCTATTCACAGGAAGCAAGCAGGTGTCAACAAAAGCTGTGAGGAATACCACAGTAATTGTTCAGCGGGTCTCCTCCCAAGGGAAACAGCGTTCTCTTAAAAACATTTAAGTTCTAATAATGAACACTGTCAGCCAAACTATCCAGCAAACCAATCTTACAAGGACAAGAATCCCACATCCATGTCAGTTCCTGAAGGGGATCACAGGCAAGGCCTGGGACTACAGCATGGTACAGATGACCAAGTGCTGCTTACAGCAGCCAAGTCCCCTGAACCAAAGGTTTCAGTTACCACCAGATTACTCTGCATGCAGACACAATACACCAGCTCAGCTCCCTCTCACGTTCTGCTACTGATTAAGAACAAAACACTCAGTTTTCTCTTCCAGAAGGTTTGCTTTTTGCCTAGTCTTACATAAAATAACTTTCTTTCATTTCTTGCAGCCTGGCAGTATAAGTACACAACTACAAATATAGTTCAATTTTTAAGCCAAATAGCCCAATTACACTAAATTAAATAATTCCAATTTTTCCCCCTTTATCATAAAATGCACTTTTGCAAATGTGTTGATGCAGTATTTGATTTTAGTGGCCAAATAATGCCGTTCAGCATCCTTCAGCAAATCACAGGAATATCAGCGGTTAACCTATAAGAACTGAAAGCCTGTTTAGACCTTCAGCTGCTATAATAAATCAAAAAGCAAAAAAGAAGGTTTTATTACACAGACAAATATTATTATTGAAGACTATTACGAAAAATGTATTGCCTACAAGGCACAGATGGGCATAAAAAGCCCAAACAGCTGCCTTCAATTAACCTGCCCTTCTTTCCAAGGCAGGCAGGACTGGATGGCTCCAAGGCCTGGGAGCCCTTCTCACTCTAAAAGAGGTGAAGGACAGGGCAGAGGTAGAGATAACCCAGCAGACAGATGAAAAAGTGTCAGAGAGGGACACAGGGGAACACACTGGACATGCTGAGTGATGTGGAAGTCAGCAGTAAAGTAGAGGAAGATGGTAACAACCTAAAGTAATTCTTATATAGAGGGTGGGCTGCTTAAGGAGTACCAGTCCCTTCTTTTCCTTCTCCCTGTCACTTCTGTATTGATAAAGCTCTTCTGACAGCAGAGTATCAGTATATTTAACACTGACTTATTTTTCAAGTATGTTTTAGCCCTGGAAAAGCTCTCTGGCATGAAATAAAGAAAGGTCCAATGCTTTTCAACTCCCTAGTGACACTGCATATTTGTTGACCAGACTACTACAAATCTCTCTGATCTCTAGGATAAGTACCCAGGCACCATGTGCTTAGCCTCCCAGGTTATGTCAGGACTTTCACAAACATCTGTGAAACCAGAGACCTAAGTCATATATGTTTGACAAGTGAAGTACATATTTTTACACTAAAATATTTTGTATTTATGTGGCATCTATCACCAAAACATTTAGAAGGCTTTACAGTTACCAGTTTCCTCACAGGAAATCAAGTATTAGCACTACCATTTTACATATAGAAATACAAAGAAGAAGAATGTAGCAGTCTGCTGAAAAATTATGTTGCAATGAAGCTGCTTTTGTTTCATTTTATCATCTCTCCCCTGCAAAGAAGTTGCACACACCAAGTCTTTGTAGGTAGTACTCCTATGAAAAAGTGATGGAAGAAACAATTCCTTGTCCCTGTCAAGAGGAATACTTCCTCAGACATCTCAGGAGCAGTAAGCTTATTAGCATTTAAATACATCTGTAAATACCAACAAGTTTAGACAAAGTATATGAGAACTGTAATCTTCTAAAAAGACAACATCCTTACCTGCTATTCCTATGAAGACTGTCAGACCAAAACAAATAAAGAATACTACAAAGACCAGAACAAAATGCCTTTTGGACAGTGTATACAATCGCATCGGGGCCAGCCTACAGGAAGGAAAAGAAAACACAGAATTAGTGCTGCTCGTATTTCTAAAGGGGCAGAAAATAAACCCCATTCATTCTTCAACAAAGAAAATTAAACCAAACGCTGAGGTAACATGTAATACTAAGAAAAAAGGTATTAATACTGCTTCATAGAGCAAAGATAACAGGAATTATTAAATACATGTATGTACGCACATAAAATGTATTAGTTTTGTGTATTAATTTTATGTACGTGCTCCAAAATATATTAATTTTGCCCTTTTTTTTATCCTAGGATTTTCTATTGTCCTAAAACTCGAGCAATAGAAAACATTTCTTAAAGGGAGAAAAGGTTGTTTGTGTTATTTCATACATTAATAACTTAAACATCCAAGACTCTATATCTCCTGCAATGAGAGCTTAATCTAAAGGGACATACATCAGTAACAACTCAGTTACTGAGTATGTCCTGCACAGGACCTTGATGAGTTGTCTATACCCTATAAATATACTTCAACCTAGCAGGATCACCCCTAACAGGGAGTAGGGCAGAGGTCCAGATCTGCTATATGTACATGCTCAGGCTTTGAACTGTTGTCTGAGCTCCACCAAAGCTTAGGAAATAAAAACCTGAACTCAAGTTTGCTATTGGACACCTAAATACAAATACACATAAGCAATGACATCTCCTGCACTATGTGTTGGTGGTTATCATTAGCTTAAAGACAAAACAGAGTGGCAGGGGTGTGGGTGTGCACTGAAAATACCAACTGCATTCCCTGGAAAACAGGTAACTTCCAGTTCTGTTAGCTTAAGGGAAATATGATCAAATAACTAATCTTACAGAAGTGTATCCACCATGTTTCAAAATACAGCAAACATTTCCTCTACACCAGAACTGAGCCACCACATACCTGACTTTCTACTGCTGCTTCAGGAGATAAGATCATAGGAATCTGTACAGTTTATATGGGAAAGTTGTAGGACTGGGGGGGTGATGGGATGGTGGTGGTGTTTTTCAATAAATTTGCATGAGAACCATTATGGAAAGAAACGATATCTTAAGACTTTAATGACAGCACTCCCTTTTAGCTTGGAATAAAACTTTCTTCTTTTCACCAGCTGAATGGTACTCTTACTGGTTCACCACACTAATGAAGAATTGCAGAAGAGGTGGTGAAATCCTTCCCATAAGCCCAGCCTGAACTCTGGGACCAGGTACCATGTGCTGCACGGATGGCAGCCCTTAAAAGCAAGGCAAACAATTCACTTTAAACCAGTACAAGGATTTATTAATAACAACCTCTATTTTCCTTGAGAATCACTGCATTTTTGCCAAAAGAAGCACTGTCAAAAACAGTTTGCATTATTTCTTTACTGTAAAGTTTTAGAGATCCAAATCTTAATTTATTAACAAAGGAGGTGGGGAAGGGAGGAAAACCCCGCAGAAGTAATGAGAACTGCAAGCAAGTAGCTGCAAATGTTGCGAGCCTGTACAAACTGGCTGTGCAGGACTCCAGGCACAGCACCTGCAAAACACTTGCCAACACACCTTTACACACAGCAGAAACTCTGCATCAGTCTCGAGGTAAGAACAGCTGATTGTACATTCAAAAAAGGCAAACCATACATGAAAGGACCAAGCAATTACCATATAAGCAACATCGGATCATCACACAGAAGCCTCACAGACAAGTAGTGTTTTGACTTTTAAACACGCCAATTAATAGAGGCATTTCAAACCAGAACTTGTCTGCACAACTTTTCAGTGATTCAACTGCAGTATTTTTCTTATATCAATGTCTTAAAACCTCAGCCTTCATGCACTTAAACTATGTTAAAGCTATTAAACCTGTACTAGTACTGAAACAACTAACTAAGGTGCATTTTTCCATCAGCTCCAGGGGCTCCAAGGCATCCTTCAGAGATGACCTGATATTCCCTGTATACCTGAGTACACCAAGTGTGGGATATAATCTTGAGATACCAAAGTATTAATCATAACAAGAAAATCTCTGACACATAAAAACCGTACATAAAACGTGGACATGCCTAAGTTAACTGCAAGAGTTCAAGCGGATACCAAATGCTTCATGGCAGAGCACATACACTGAGGATCTCTCAACACAGGGAAGTCCATGGGTTGAGTATAGCTGACAACTGTAAGGGCATCATGTTTGCAGTAAAGCATAACACATACTTGTTCTGTCTGAACAGCTCACATCTGGGCATCCACTTGACAGCTACAGACTGATGCAGGATACTTCTGACTTGCTGTGCATGTTCTTTTCATAGGTTTCCTAATTTCAAGGTTTTTGCAGACATTTCAAAATGCATGATGTGGACATGAAAAGCAGCTCCCTCTCCACATTCCTTACAGAAAAGCCACCAGTTCCTCACTCAGCCAAGAGTGTTACTGGCAATTAGCACCTTGGTTTACTCATAAGCCAGAGCAGATGTGCTTGTGAGCTTTCGAAGAAACACGTTCCAGACACTGGCTCATTCTTTATTCCAGCTGCTCTCCAGATGGTGCAACACCTGGTAGTTGCAACGGGTAGGTGTACACCTACCTACCAACAGGGATGCTGTACCCAGCCAAGAGTGGAGACACACAGAGGAGGGACACACCCCGTGTTTTCCTTTCATTCAAACCTGTACTCCTCAAGTGTCATTTAAGCCACTGACTGCATGAGGTACTTCAGAGGCCAGTAAGGCAACATGGACACTTGTATTAACAGCAAATGTAAGAACTCAGCCAAATCTTAACTGCATTTCTCATGAGGGCAAACTGCAATTTACAGCATTCCTATCAGGTGATGCACGCTCCATTGCCCCTGGCTGCATAACTTCCTTATGTAGATTTAAGTGTCTTGCTGCACCTGTCACCACCTGACATACAAAGCAGGAAAAACCACCTTCCCATGAGTTCATTGTTTAACACCTGCCTTTTGGAAAGAGATTACATGAAGTTTATGAATATACATAAGTGCAAGTTGGTTATACTCCATCGGCAGTCCCATCTTACATTTGAAATGACCAAGAAAGAATGAAATGCTGGAAACACATTTATGGGAAAATCAAAAAAGATTCCTTACTCTGGATGCACCTGTTCAAACAAGTAAAGATCTGTGCTTTGCTTTACCAAGCAAAGTGGAAGACATTTACTCAGCCCAACCACAGCAGTCCAAAGCTCAAGACTAGACATCGAACTGTCTGCAGGTCTCTCAGGCAGCTTTACCACCTACACTCAGCTTTACCCTAATTCAGAGTGGTTTATAATTAACTTATGTCTGATTGCACGTCTCAAATAGCAGTCAGTAAACTAAAATCTCTAGTGCAGCCTGTGACAGAGTTAACTTTGGAAACACACACTCATAACTATTGCAATATTTCAGTAGCCATTCATACATGAGATGTAAAGGTGGGTTACATCTTGCTTTTGGAGTAAAGTTTTGTCTCAAAAGGGTCAGCAAAACGTTTCTCAGAATACTCCTCATCTTCAAATCACTACTCATGACTGCACAACGAAGTCCTTAATGAAGACCATGATGAAAACAGAGCCTGTTATATAATAAACAGTCAGTCTTTCACTAAATACTGACTTTAAAGAAGGGAAAGCTGTGGTGAAACTGAGATTAAGCAGTAGGTAGGCACAGAGTCGATATTAAAATCAGACATAACTCGCTTTAATGCACAGCAGCTTTTCTGAAATCCTAGCCTCAACATCTCTGCCTCCAACTGCTCGTCTCTATTTTAGGCTCACACCCAAAAAGAACCACCAAACCCACTTTGATTTGAATAATTATATATGCTACCCACATTGACAGTACTGGGGTTATCCATACACCCTGCACTTGCTCATGGTTTAAATACATTGCCTGCTTTGGTGTCCCTCAGAAGACCTTGAATTTCTTCTTGCAAATGTATTCCACAAGGGTTAATAGCTAATGAGGCAGCACATGACTATACAAAAAGCAGCATAAAATTAACATTGTCAGTACTATACAGAACTTCTACATGACAACTGACAGATAAACATGGCTATGCTTTGCCTTTGTATGTGCGCACTGGTTGGGTTTGGCTTTTTGGTTTTTTAGTTGTTGTTCATTGTATTCATTTAAGTCTGTATAATTAGTCACAGCTATGACTCTGTTCATGCGAAGAAATATCCGGGAAAACAAGGTTTTCTTTCTCCTTTAACAAACAATCTGAGATCGAAGATACCGGGGGTGGGGAGAGGTTTTATTCGCCATATAAAAGGCAAACTCACAGCGTTCCTCTAAAGAAATGGACAGTCACCCTCGGGGCCCTGAGTGGCGAACCACAACCTCAGAAACATTCATTTAACCCTCGGCGAGCTGATTTCCTTAAGGAGGATAACGAGTATAAACTGAATTAGACTCGGACTGCCCGAAGAGATTGAGGGGCCTCCCTCCCCGGAGACACTCAAGACCCGCCAGGACACAGTGCTGCGCCAGGTGCCCTAGAGTGACCGTGCCTGAGCAGGCAGGGTGAGCAGACGGCCGGTGGCCGCGGTCCCTCCCGAGCTGCCCGTTCTGCGATCCCGTGGGTGAGTTCGTTCTCCCGGACGCGGCCCCGAGCGAACGGGCTCCGAACGGGCTCCGAACGGGCTCCCCGCGGGCTCGCGCCCCCCGCGCGCGCCGCCCTCCCCGCCCCCACTCACGGCTCCATCGCGCGCCGCGCGCGCGCCGCCCGCGCCTCCTCCGCGCGCCGCCGCCGCCGTGGCACAGCCGGCGCCGCGCGACGCCTTCCGCGTGCGTCACCGCGCGGCCGCCACGCGGCCCCGTACACGTCACGGGCCCCGCACACGTCACGGGCCCCGCCGCGCCCTGGCCGCGGGGGAGCTGAGGGGGGGTTGGGGGGGAGCTACGGCGAGCCCGAGGGGACACGGGCGGCGGGAGGCGGTGCGGTACGGCGGCAGCTTGTCTTTGGTGAGCCGGCTTGCAGCGCCGCGGGTTCAAAATCACCGTAACACAGCATCAGGGAGCCAGCTAGGTTGGAAAAGATCCCCAAGATCATCGAGTCCAACCTGTGACCTAACAGCACCGCGTCAGGTACACCATGAGACTGAGTGCCATGTCAGTCTTTCCTTAAACGCCTTTAAAGATAGTGACTTGACAGTCCCCCCGGACAGCCCGTTCCAATGTCTAATCACCCTTTCTGTGAAAAAATGCCTCCTAATGTCCAACCTGAACCTCCTCTGGTGCAGTTAGAAGCCATTTCCTCTTGTCCGGTGTCTGGGTCGCTGGGAGGAGAGACCAGCCCTCACCTGGCTGCGCCCTCCTTTAAGGCGGCTGTAGAGAGCCATGAGGGCACCCCTGAGCCTCTTTTTCTCCAGACCAAACACCCCCAGCTCCTCAGCTGCTCCTCACAGGACTTGTGCTCCAGACCCTTCCCCAGCTCCGTTGCCCTTCTCTGGACACGCTCCAGGCCCTCAATGTCCTCCCTGTAGTGAGGGGCCCAGAACTGATGGCAGGATTTGAGGCACAGCCTCACCAGTGCTGAGAACAGGGGGACAATCCCTGCCCTGCTCCTGCTGGCCACTCCATTGCTGATCCAGGCCAGGATGCCATTGGCCTTCTTGGCTACCTGGGTCACTCATGGCCACCTGGGTCACACTGGCCACTTGGCTGGCTCATGCTCAGATGCTGACCAGCATCCACAGATCCTTTCCCACTGGGCCACTTCCCAGCTACTCTTCTCCCAGCCTATAGCATTGCATGGAGCTGTAACCAAAGCATAGGACCCAGCACTTGGTCTAGTTGAACTTCATAGAGCCTCAGCACTTGTCTAGTTGAACCAGCCTCTATTTGGTTATGAGGCCAAATGTGTTATTGTGTTGGGATAACAGCAGTATTTTCCATATTTCTAGTGTGCTTTATCAGCTTGTGCTGTATTAGTAGCAACCAGAGGTAGTAGAGGGATATTAAACCATATAAACAGAAAATACTTAGGACAGAGAAATGGTTCTGAATCCAGACTAAACCCATCCATTTTAGTCAAAAGGCCCAATGTGACGTATCCATGCTGAACATACAGATGTTTAGTGCCACCTGGGTCATAAACTATTTTGTTTACCAGCTCTTTCAGTGGAATTAAAATGCTGTCACTGCAGTCATCTGCATGAAGCTTTGTGGTATTCAAGGGATGTGACTGGTGTGTTTGCAGAGAATTCAGTCAGCTCACGGGCAACAGAAATTAAATCCTAGGAGTAAGCAACTACTTTACACACACTATGTAATAAAAATCTCTAGTTCATACCTAACAGTGTTCTGTTCTCGCACAATGTTAAGATAAAATTGGATTTTTGTTCTGAATTTATGTTAAATGTCCTAAGACTGGGCAACAAAGATTGACAACCTGGGTAGGGATGGTAAAGAGTAGGAAGGTATAAGGGTTAGACAAATTATGTTTTGTAGTCATTTTTGATAGCTCTAACATCTGCTCATAGAAAGTCAGCACTGCAGTTACTAAAACATGTGGGAATACCTGATGTATAGTCTTGAATGAAATTCAGAGTAACTGCCTGGCTTTGTTGTTTGTCATATACAGAAGGCAGAGTGTCTTTGAGATGACCCCCCAAGAAATGCTGAGATAGATCAGTCAACAAATAATTTTAAAATTATCTCTTCAACAGTTAAATAATTTCATTAAAAGCTTACTTAGATGATACTTAGTCTTATTGCATTTCCTTTTTAAAAGTACTTAGGATTAATAATATTCTTCATTTTATTCCATTACTCTGGGGGCAGTTATGTCACTACTGTGACCTGTGGGACCCAGTATGACTCTTGTGTAACACCACTGAACCTAAAAACATGCTGGAAATTAGTTTAGTCATTGATACTGGTATTTATGCCATCAGTGATTTACAGCACTGATGATCACTTAGTAATCTCCTAAAAATAGCTGCCTTGAGAAATACGTAGTACCAATTGATGAAGAAAAGGAGACCACGTATTTTTAATCAATGAGAGTTTAAACTATAGACAATTAACTGGGGGGGGGGAAGAAAATAAAGTTTTGAGTAATCAGGACAACTTAACAAACTGTATCTGCTCAGAACAAATTATCATCACTGCCAAGCCACAGTTGGTCATTAGGTCATGGATGACTATGACATGCATTGTGTTGCTTTCAGCACACTTCAGGCTTCTCCAACAAGCTCTCCCTGGCCAGAAAATGATGGAATGGTGCTTACAGCATCTGTGACCATTCCCAGTGTTCTGGGAAGCATGGTTGTGGAGTTATGACTCTCTGGAGTTACACTTCTATTTATGTGCACACAACTGAGCTGTTCCAAGGACTGCTCCAATCCCTCTGGCACTCAGGTGTCTCGCTAACATTAATTTATTATCCTCAAACCAAAACTATGTTCTCCTCATTGAGGGAAACCTGAAGCACAGAGAGACTGAGCCTTGCCAAAAGTCAGTTGGAGAACAGTGCGGGTGGCAGAGCTTGAAATTCAGCTCACTTCAGTTAGCCAAAGGACCACATTTCTCTTTGCCATCTACCAGCTTACAAATGGTTGTGAATACACTGCAGACCTGTACATTTCATGCTATTTTTTGTGAAAATTTTGGCACTGAGTTTACAAACTGAACACTTGGAGGGAAGACACTGTGAAACTCCTCTCTCTTCACAGAGTCAGTCAGTCTCTCTCTGCTTCTTCCAAGAAAGTGCCACTCAGTGCTTTGTTTGACGTGCTCTGGGATGAAATAGTGCAAGAATCTGCTGTCTGCCTCATCAGTTGTAGGAGCTGGACAGTGTGTGATGAATGAGGCTTGCAAGAGAAGGCAGACTGAGCTATCAATAGGAGGCTGAATACTCACTCAGCTGGGATTCTATTTAAATGGAGCACCTTAGCACTAAAGCTGTACTTTCATGGCCAGTTTACACTTTCATGGCTCACACCTACAGCTTCAGTGACAATAGGTGAAATCCAGCCTCTCTAGCTGGAGCTCTTTGAATTTTGCCAGCACTCATGTTAGTGCAGGAGACTGGTGAATCAAATAATGGAAATCATCTGCGTTAAAGGTCACATAGGAATCAGTTGCTCAGTCAGTGTGCACATAAAGGATTAATTGTGGGCAGATGAGGAAAGAACAGAAATGTGTGACCAGGGAAATGAGAGCTAGGATGGCTTTTTCCAGCCACAGAGCCAGCTTATGGCAACTTAAAGCAATCATGAAGCTACAGTGTTAGCCTCATCCTCTTCTCTCTTTCAAGCCTTCTGGCCCTAGCTATATACTTCACACTGGGGTCATTCAGGTTCTTCCAATTGCCAGGACACTGCAAGAACAAGAGAAGGGTGCCAGCTGTGGCTCAAAGCAGCCACTGACGATCCTGCCTGGGTTAAGGCTGAAGGCAGCATGAACCTTCCAGGAATTTGACTGCAGATGTCCAACAAGGTCTTGTTGACCCCACAGCTTCTCACAGACTTGCACTTTAAGCCCTGGTAGAAGACGTATATTGCTGTGAATAAATGTATATTTTATCACAACAGCCTTCTCTAGCAACTTCAAGTTTCTCCTCACAAGAACACAGGTACCAGTTCTCTAAGGAAAAATGAACAGCTTCTCTTTATTCCTGAGTCAAATGATGTGGTATTCTCTGGTCTTTTTGCCAGAGGAGCAGAACCACAGTCAATGAAATTTTCCCCTATGGTTTGAAGATTGTCTATGTAACATCAAGCATTAATTAAAGCTGCAAGTTAAAAAATACTTTTCATGATGTCCTATATATAGTCTTTTCTTTTTGATGTACAAAATATCATATTATTATTTGATAGGAGTTTAAAGTTTATCCCTTGTGTAAAGCAGGGCAGATTGAAGGACATTTATCACAGTCTCTGTGTATTACTACTAAATTCAGCATCAACGCTGTGCTTCCCTGTATAAGCTGATTGGCCAGTGGGACATGTTCATTAACCTAGAAATTGATTTTTCAGGAATGCCATGTTGCAGTTATGCAACTCTCATGTCAGACCACAATTTGGCCACCTTCCTGCTCTCTCCTGTCTATCAGATAGACACTTCAATTCCTATCAAAATGTTTCCAGCAAGCTGAACTCTTCAACACCAGATAGGTGATAGAGTTACGAAATTCTCACTGAAAAATATCTGTCAGCTGATTGGCAAGCTTGGTGTCTTCTGGTAAGCTTTGGTATCTCATTGCTAACATGTCAAAGAGATAAAAATGTTTTTTAGTAAAATTGGTAGTAAGCTGTTTTCATACCAATAGTCTACTCAAAATGGCTTCGAGAGGCAGGGGAATTGTCATCTGCTGTCAGAGCAGTAAGTCTCTACATGACATCCCAGAGTGTGCTCATTTATAACCTGACCAAACATCCTGAGTAAAACGAAGAGGGACAAGAGGATCAAAAATTTAATTCTCCTTCTTGTAAGTGGGAGTTGCCTGTAACAAGAATGCATGGTAGCATCAAGGAACCCTCCTCCACACCAGAAATCTAAAAAGCAAGGTGCCATTGCTACATCCATCCACAGTGCACTTACCAGAACAGCAGATATGCAGTGGCAGTAACAGAAACTCACTTTACAGCAGGTCACTTAGGTTAAGATCTTGGGAATGCAGAGAATTACTAGCATGACTTGTAAGTCAGGAAGTATTATTTCCATGCTAAGAGTCCAGTATTACTCCATTCCATTCTAGATGACCAGCAGCTGATACCTCATTGTCACTGAAGAAAGGGCAATCTAGCACTAACTCTGCAGGCACATTTGATTCACTGAGTTAGTATCTTTTCAATGCAGAAAGTCCCTCCATACACTCCTAAGGTCATAAAAATGAATTAATAATAGTTTATCTTGGAGAGCTCAAGATTCTTCGAGGAATAAAGCTGAACAAATGCCTCTCCCAGGACCTCTTATTTGTTAATTCAACAAGTTAATGTCTCCCCTCTTTCTCCATTCCAGTGCTAGTATTCCTTATTGCACTGCCAGATGCACACAGGTACATTTCTATCACTCCTTATCAGCTCCCATGGCTTCTCACACCACACTCAAGTGTAAGGAGCCACTGTTTTGCCAGGAAAGACCTGGGTTTTATTAGACTCTGCCAAGTTGTCAGGCATTGTTTCCAAACTCTATGACTCTGTAGTCTTTGATGTTGTGAATAATGAGCAAACTCAATCTAATGGATCACCTGTCCCTTCACTGGGAAAAACCACATTCTGAAGTCAAATGACTTAAGCAGAACAGCTGGGGTACTCTGCAGAAGCAGACTGCCCAGATGTACAGTAAAATAGAGCTGAAAGAGACCTTACAAGGTACCTCATCTTTCCTTCTGTCTTAGGACAGCATCTGCCAGATCTAAGACTTTCCTGGCATGTGTTTGTCAAAAGTTTTTAAAACCCTGCGATGATGGAGATGCTGGAATCTCTCGAGATAATCCTTTCTTGTAGTGTTTTGCCATCCTTCCCATTCAGATTTTTTTTTTCTTGATATCTAACAAGAACTTTTATTGCTTCAGTTAGTATTACTCTGTAGCGTTTTGTCCAAGATGAACATGAAGTTTCTCTTTACAGAAATTCCTATTCTTCCAACTTCAATGTTTGTTATTTTGGGGGAGTAATCTCAAATTTTCCTCAAAGCTATGCTTTCAAGACTTTTGATTATCCAGATCCCTGTCTTATCCTCTCTTCCGCTGGCAGGCCCTTGAAGTGTGGACATAGCTTGCACTGAGGTCTGGAGTGTTGACTAAAGTAGGTGGTGTAACTCTCACATCTTATCCTTCTGCTGTACATTTACCTTTTTCATGTGTATAAGAAAATGTCATTGTTGAAAGAGATAATTTTATAAAAGATTAAAACTTCTATACCTTTTTAGACAAAAAATGTCATATATCTACTCTCCAACTTGTATTTGTGTGGCTGAACAGCATCCATTCTCTCCATAGTTCCTGGCACCTGTTTCTTCTGATGTTCATTGTACTTTCTCAGAACCTTCCTCCAATTCAGTTCAATTCAACCTTCCTTCAATTCATTTATAACCAAGGCGTCCAACACCCTTGGAGCCCTTCCTGGCCTGTTGTAATCTCAAACCATCCATACTCTCCAGCCATCACTGGTCAGTCACGGAAACAGCAGACAGGGCAAGGCTCTGAAGAAATATGGGTGTAGCCCACGCAGTGTGTCTGTCTTGTCTGACCTCAGCCTGTGCCAACCACTCTCATTTTCCTAATCTATTCTTATCCTATTCCAGGATTGTTTCGCGGCTGCCTCTAGAACACATCCACCTCGCTTGCTACGTCAGTGGAAAAGTCGTAGCACAGAGGGACGCAGATGGAAATTGCCTGTGTATGGGTGTTAACAGGTGAGGCAGGAAGAGAGGCGTGGGGCTGTCTTGTCTGATCGGGGGGCGCTGCCAGAGCACATCCCCCGGGCGGAGCGGCGGCCCCTCCGCCGCCGGCCCGCGGGACCCGGGCGCTCGCCCGGAGCAGCCCCGGGGCTGGGCGGCCGCTCCCAGCGCTCAGCCGGGGGCTTCTCGTGTGATGCCCGGAGCCATTCCCCCGCTCGCCCCCCGAGACGGTCCCGATCCCGGCCGGAGCCGCGCCCGCAGTACCGGTAGTAACGATCATCCTTGTAGGGCGTGAGGTCCTCCTGGATCTCCCGGTACGTCTCCCGCACCCGCCGGCAGAAGCGCTTGACCTCGCCGCACAGCGGGCTCCCGAAGGCGGCGAAATCCGCCTCCATGCCGCCCACGCCGCCGCCTCAGGCCCCGCGCTCCGCCATGGAGCCCCGCCGGAGCCCGCCGGCGCTGAGCGGCCGCGGGGCGGGGGCGGCGCAGGAGCCGCAGCGGCGGCGGCGGATGCGGGGGGGAGCGGATGCAGGAGCGGGGGATGCAGGGAAGGGGGATGAAAGGGGCCGAATGCAGTGGCCACCGATGCAGGAGCGGGAGATGCAGGGACGAAGGATGCAGGAAGGGGGGATGCAGCATCAGCAGGGATGCAGGGGCGGAGGATGCAGGGCGGGTCCTCCGCCCACGGCCCGCGCCCTCGAGGGCGGAGGGAGCCGCTTCAGCACCACGGAGAGGGGCGGCCGGTGCCGGGAAGTAAGCAACGAGCTCGCATTACCCCTGCTAAAAACATATCTTTTATTGTTATTTTTTAAATAAAACTGTTTTGTTCTCAAAAGCATACCGGCTCTAGGTAAAAAAAATGCCCTGATTTTTATTGCTTCTTTCCCCCAACGTATTAGGTATGAAAAAGGAACCCTATGCTAAATCCACTTTTCATGGTCATGACACTGTAAATGGTCCAAAACTAAGAATGATGCTGTTTACATTGTCTTAATCTAGAAACTTGAAACTGAACTCTAGTCAGGTCACAGAGCACCATGTTAGCTTCATTCATATTAAACTTTCCTTCAGAAATAAATTCACATTTAAACTCGTTTAAATTATTCAATCTGTTGAAGCCTTAATTTCCACTAACTAATGACAGTGATGATATCCATATTAAAAGCAAAAACTCCATCACTCTTGATAGGCAATAATTGTGTCTAGCAGGTATAAATATAGAAGTCTTTTGTACTGCTCCTCTCATGTAAATATCTTCCCTGACATTCAGGAAGCTGGGCTGGGTTATTTGCCAGCCTTGCCCTTAGTCTGTATTTTATCACGTACTAAGACTGGAACATGCATTTTTACTTAAGTTGATCTCTCAAAAATGTGTACTAGCAAGAGCTACTGGCAAGTTACTCCTGGTGGTGCAGTGGGAGAGGGACAGACAACTCGTCTTCTCCAGCAGGTGGGGGAGAAAGGGAGGAGGAAGGTTCATCTCTTGAAAACATAGCAGCAGGATAAAAGCCATGTGTACATTTAAGCTGGAGACAAAGGGTTTTTTTTGGTTGGTTTGCTGGTTGGTTTGTTTGTTTTTTGAGGGCTCAGAGCAGCATCATTCCAGACACGCAATGTTCTTTGTTGTGCTGAACATTATCCAGGTTGGCTTCCAACGGTGTTTGTCTCCCTACACCTCAAATGCCATGGGATGGTTCTGCACCTTTCATGGAAGGCTGGCAGGTTACTCACAGAGAAGGTGTTAGCATTGACCACATATTAACCCACCAACTTCTGCTATCAAAAAACCAGACAGTGTGTCAGCCAGCAAATACCAGATATTACAGGATTTTAGGCTTGTGAATAGCAAAAGTTGTGGGAAGACACAAGCAACTGTATATTCCCATTGTGGTCCACATTAAACACTCAAAAGACTAAGGAGGTCAAGAATGCATTTTGAGTCTCCAAAACACTTCAATACATTGATTAAACAAGCAGTATTCAGGGTTGTATGCAATTCCTAAGTAACATTTTTAAGGTAAAACCAAAAAAATAACTTGCATCCAAACCTTTTCATCAAAGAAATTTCAGGTTTCCTTATTTTAGTAAACGAGAAAAGCATATTTTTAATATTTTAAGTGTCTAGTAAAACTGCCAATCTATTTTCTTTTGTGAAGATCTGATATCTGATGAATGGAACATTTCAGCTTGCTGCGCTTACCCCAGCCCTGCAGACCTAACAGATCATGCTTCTCCCATGATTGGCTGTCTGTCTTTCCTGTCCAGTGCAGTACAGCACAGACTGGGCTGTGTTTGAAATGTGTTTGGTTCCGCAGGAAGCACAACATAAGTCAAAGCAAAGGGAGGCCAAGGTTTCATAGACAGTTTTGAAAATAAGGTGCAAGAGTAACCAGCAAATAACATGCACTGGGGCATGACTTACCTGACTAATTTCAGGGTACACCAGCTGATCTATCCAAGCACAGCACCTTCTGTGTCAGCCTGATTTTTGCGATTTTCACAGCACATGATAAAAGAGAGGCAGCATCAAACCACATCTAAGAACAAACCAATCTAAAGTATTACTGAGTGTCTCACAAATCTCAGTTAGAATTTAAACATATGGAACTCAGTTCATCCCCTGAGTGCTTCTGGACTTCATGAGGGAGAGAAAAGCCCTAAGAGTCTAAGACTAAGGTGTGATCAAATTCAACATCTGCACTGCATCATTTCACATAACCTAGAAAGAGTTTATTTTTGAGGATGGAGCTTATCAGTAGTCCCTCTTTTCATTATTCTTCCTGGTTCTCCCCCTGTGCATAGTGAGCCTTTTGCGGCATCAACCACATGTATTACATTGTGGTAGTGGTTAAATACAAAGCTTAGCAATCCATTGAAAAGCACCAGGGTTATTACTCTGGACTATTTCAGAAGCAACAGCTGGTGCTGAGAAGTTAAGGGAATAAATGCTGCCAACTCAAGTCCCCTTCTTTCCCCCTTGTTTTATTTCAGCAAAGAAACAAACCCCTCAAACAAACAGAAGTCCTCCTGCTTAACAAACACTTTCTCCCTCAAAATTGTTTTGAGACAGAGAAAGGCAGTAGTGGCAGCTGCTGGCTGAAAGGAGCAACTGCCTTTTTCCTTCTAAGTGGAATTATGGATGGGTACACCAGATGACAGAGAAACAAGCACACATCTGTACTGACTGCCAAGGTAAGAGAACCTCTGCTGCTGTTACACAGCTTCATTTATGCCCTTGAGTCTCACCACATGTAGGAGTTTTCACTGAGTATCCCCAAACAGCAGAGTAGAAGCCATGCAGAGCCCCACAGAAAACTTGTGACTTTGGCCCACCTGCCCTGTTACTCTCTGCTGCCTTAACTCTGGAAGAGAATAACCCTTGCCTTGCCTCAGGCCGTCATGGCTTGGCTGCCTTCTCCTGCCAGAAAACCACTTTGTCACAGCTAGCTAGCAATGTGACGATGATGTGACTCAACTGTTGTCACGGAGCCCTTGCTGTGCATGAAGAGGATCGCAGCAGCATGCTGGGGACAGAAAGGTGACGTTGCTCAGCAGGAGGGTGGTGTTCACTGTGATGCAAAGCTTCTCGTTTATTTTAAGAGGTGGCATAGAAGCACTGCTGGGACAGCCCGTGACGGATCACCCATAACAAATCATCTCTGAGCTGCCAGTGGCTTTGGAGTCACAGCTGCTCTTGTCATCGCTGGGAGGAATAAAGCTCTACACAGTTGGCTGCAGCTGGCAGTCCTGACCCTCACAGCAGCAGCAAGAAAGAATCATCACTCTCTCCCTGTCTCTTTGGAGATAAATCTTCCCTCCATCTATCCTGCTTTGAAGAGATGTGAGGACAAGAAAATAAAATAAGATTTAAAACCTCTTTTGATCAAAATTGAAGAAGAATCTCTTGTGAGGTGATTTCAAGGAAGACAAAGAGGAATGCTGATCACATCTGTTCATGCTCTGTGTCCCTCTTAGTATGGCTGGGTTGCTTTTCTCTTGACTGTCATGTTGATAGCAATGGGAAGACTGAAATGGGAGCATAACTAGACTGCCTGTCCTATATATAAATTAACATTTTATATGGTGTTTCACTGTGATTATTTGCTTTCAAATGTCCTCTGCACTTGGAATAATAATTACCAGTGGCTTTTATTAACTTATATATCCCACAGATATTAAAAGGAATATGACTAATGGAAATAAAAACTCAACAACTTGTGATATCTAGATAACAACTAGTGAAGACTTAGACCAATTGCATATTTTTAACTGCAGTGACTTGTATTTTAGTTATCTTAGTCCATTAAATAGATCACCATGTTTACTTTTCAGTTATCACCCAGCATATTGCTGCAGGCATATTTCAAAGAAAATTTTAAACACTGTTCAAACTACATAGATGTATTTTTCTAAAAAGTTTCTCAGTGTTTGAGAAAATACATGTAATGACACATCCAACAGTTTTACTATGCCTATTTTAGGCAGAACACCTTTGTTTTGATTTTTAGATGCCTACTACTCTTCCTTTGAAATTCATGTCTCTTGTGAGATACAGTCTTATCTCTCAAAAATAATTAGGATTGACAATAATCATGCAATTGTTATAATCTCAGACTAAAAATGTATGGTGGGTTGACCCTGGATGAGCAGTAAAACTCCCACCCAATTGCTTGCTCACTCCTACTCCCTTCCCTGAAACCAGCTGGATAGGGGAGAAAATAAGAAGGCCCAGATTAAACAAGCTCATGAGTAGATATAAAGAAATTCCCAATTCCTGTTGGTAGAAAACTAGACTTTACTCAGGGAAATTAACTTAATTTATTGTCAGTTGAGATAAGCGTTTGGGCACTGACTTGGATAACAACAAACAACCAACTTTTGGGGAAGGGAGGGGGCTGCCCCACAATGGAGCACCTCTGCCTCCTCCAACCTTGCTGTTCCTCTGCTGCTTCTCACTCCTTTTGTTCCCTCCTCTTACCTGTGCCTTATCTTAAATATGTTTCCCCAGAGGTGCCACCAGCTGCGCCCGTGTGTGCTCAGCTGTGTCCTGTGCTGGGTCCAGTTTGAAGCTGTCTGAAACCATCCTGCAGGGCAGCGCTGGCCCCTTCCCACGGAACCCAGCCCTGCAGCTCCCCCTGCCAGCACCTGGCTACCTGCTCCACATACAGAAGGTCATAATCCAGATAGGAGGTTACATGACACTTTTCCATTGTTTATCATTCTTCCCTTTCTGAACTGTTGTCTGTACATCTCAAGGGAAGCAATTAAAACTAACGTGGAAATAGTGGAAAATGACAGATATTTTAGAAAACTTCTCTCCTTTTAGAAGCTGATTATTGTCTAAATATGCAGTCACACATTAAGGAATAGTGAGACTCTCTAGGTGCCGCTAGATCTAACTAGAAACATGCAGCATCACCAGGGGAAGCCCTCATTCTTTGCTAGGGAGTCTCCTTTCTCCAGTCAGGCATTTCTCCTCTAAACTACAAAGATGAATACCCAGTTATAAATAGCATATGACTTTTTTTTTTAGAAAGTAATGGAAAACCATCAAAAATACAGGTTTTCGGCATGTGTTTGAAGCCCACTGGAATGAATTAGCCTTGTGCAAACCAACAAATGGGTCTCCTCCTTAGCCATTTAAGACTACAGTTAATTTACAGGGCTTGGGCATATTTCTAAGGTACCAGACCTGGGCACGTGTGTGGCTAAATCACGTGCCCACAAGAGACAGGGAGTCTTCATCCTCTGGCCCTCACTTCTCCTCCCCTTGTAGGAAAGAAAGAAAATTGGGCATGCAGACAGAGAAAGAGCAGGAGTGTCTTCCACACAGGTCATCATCTGGCTGATGGGAGAACCAGGACCTTGCCTATTCCTCTCCAGACATTTTGCCCTTGGTCATTGCATGTTTCACACATTTATCTCTGTATCTATCCAAATTCATCTGAAGTAGCCTTGTTTGGAACACGTCATAGAATGGAGAATCCATGATTTCGTTGAGCTTTTTCCAATGACAATAATTTTCATCATTAAGTGTGTCTTGCTTCTTTTTGTACTTGGCTCCAGCCCCCAGATATTACTGCTTGTTGTGCTTTTTCCTGCTAAATTAAAGCACCTTTTGATACCAGTATTTTAATTCAGTTAAGTTTTTTAAGATAGTGAGAATTACTTAATTACACTTTTCTCTGAAATAAGCTAAGCAGACAGATCTCTTGCTGTGAGGCATTTTCTTCCATATTTGAAGTATAGTCTTTCAATACTCTCCCTTCTTGTAAGACAGCTTAGAAGCCTGGCCAGCAGTAACAAACCCAGTATTTTATCAGGTGAAATTAATTCCCTCCTCCCACTGCCCTACTTACAAACCTGAGGATTGTACTAGCTCTTTTTGCAGGAAGATCTCAGGATTGCTAACATCCCCTACTGAGGTGCCTGCTTTAACCTGTGCCTCCAAATCAGTTCTGCAGCTCTTAGAGCTAAATTACTGATTTTGAAGACATGACCACATTCCTTGCTCCTAAATGCACAGCTTTACATTTGCCTGCATTAAAAATGCATTTAGTCAGCAATGTTTTATTGCCTTGTTCTTAGTGCTATTCGCCTTTCTGGCAGTTTTATGCCATGTACAGATTTGATCAACCACAGTGCTGTATCTGCTTTTGAGCCCTCTTTACTGTCAGATCTAGCACTTGTCTCTGCAAAATCCCACCAGAAATGCTCCACTCAGCAAGGATTCCACATTGCAGGCTACTTTGTAAGATTCCTAGTTTCATTCACAATCCATTTAAAGCCCATCTCATTAGCATGAGCTATTGCCAATTTCTTTATTGAAACCCCAGGCACTATTTTATCATATGCCCTGTGAATGAATTTTATCTACAAATTGAGGTAATAACCTCAAATAATAGTGTCAAAGGACACCGTGGGATAACAACTCTTTTTTTTTTTCCCTCCAGAATAACATAAAACATAAAACTACTTTCTCAAGGTTTACATCCTCATGCTCCAGTTTTCAACTGACTAGAGTATAATCATTATTTTGCCCTCATGGCTGGTCTTCTTCCTGCTGTCTATATTCTTTTTCCAAATATTGTTAGCTAAGAATATTGTCAGGCTCCTAGAATATATAAAGCGGTATAAAATACATTTAAACTGCCCACCAGTTGGATGGAATTCTCTTCAGCCTACTTTGTGCCACTCTTGATGACACACTAGTCTAGTCTCAACTTTTCAAAAGAGATTGAAACAGGTTGAACTGACCCAGATCAGTTCTGGTTACTACTGCAAGTCATGAATTATACTGAGGAATGAGTTTGGTAGGAGACCTAATTTTGTGCTTGATTTACCCATGTATTTGAGCATAAGAGGAAGGAAGGAGTTAACTGTGCTTAAGTCTAGCAATATGTTCTCCCACAGTAAGTAGTGTGTGATACCATCTTGCATTGCTCAGGGTGACAAATAGAGCTGGTAGACTCCCACATTTTTTCTCAAAGTTAGCTCATGTACTTTGTACCTCATGTACTTTGGAGAGAGATGGTTTTCTTTAGAGCTAAAACTGCAGAATTGGCTCCAGAACTTTGAATCTCTTGATACACTGCCTAATGCCTCTGTACTTTCCTTATGTGAGAAAGGAATTTCTTTAGAAGCATTTAATTAGGGGACTGTACAGTATGTTTCAAACTGTAGTAGGATTCCATCCAGTTACTGCTGTCCACAAGAGAGAGCTGAGAAGTATTAAAATTACAGTCCTTTGGATCCCAGTTTATACCAAATCTATGTCCTGGGTACTCCTTGTTGCATCTGTACCATGAGCAATCCAGCATAACAATTTGCTTTCTCACATCTCAGCACTGCTCTCGAGACTCAAAATTCTTTGATGATCCACGCTGTCTCTTTCTGGCTGCTTGTGGGTGTTACTGTCTGGTCCTTCAGGGAATGAGTATTCCTCCCACTAGTTTCCTGAAACCCACTGCTTTGCAGTCCCATGTGACTTCTGTTGCAGCAAGGATCTGTGTCACTTTATTTTTGTGACATACTGTAAGACATTGTTGCAGCCTGCAGTTCTCTGATCTCTGGCTTTCCAGAGGTTATATTCAGTCTCTGCTGCTGCAGTCTGTATCTTTGTTCATCACCTGCTCGACAGGAAAGTTCCCCTCTCAGTGAATTCAGGCAGGCCCAATGAATTAGGGTGAACTGTCCTGCTTTCCTTTCCTACCACAGGTGCACCTCAGGAACTGCTGTTTGCTTTGTGGATGTTTTCATTCTTGTGGTGTCATGAAAAGCCCCTCCCCACCCTTGCCACCCCCTCCATCCTTACCGTCACCAATAGATAAATTCCTTTGAAGCTCTCTGGTATGCTCAGTGTAACACAGCTGAAAAGCCAAAGTGTTGTGTTGAAGTTGGTTTTATTTTGATTTTTTGTACTTTTTGATTGACTCAATGAATACATCCAGGGAAATAAAGAACAAGGCAATAAAAGGGAAGCTATTAGCATTCAACACTGTGGAGCTGAAAAGCTGGCTTATTCAATCACTCTAAGTCAAGCATAGATCACTGTAGTTACAGGGCTTCTCTGTGTCACTGCATTAGAAAAGTCATTGCAAGGAAGCACCTGGGGGGAATATCCAACTAACTTGGTGAGCTTGCTGTGTGTAAAGCTCCTGGGAGTAGCATTCAGCTCACAGAGACAATGAACCAAAGTCAGAAAATTCAGATGCTGGAGTCATGTGAAGAAGCTAACTTTAATAATGCTCTTGAAGACATCTGTGTTGCCAGATTTTTTTTTTCAGATGCTACAGCCTCAAAGTAAGCTTTTAAAAATGGTGTCCTGTCTGTTGGCAACATATTTTTTGCATTGTAACATTTAAGCTTCACATATTCATCAGTAAAAAAATAGGATAATTTATATAAATAGATTTATACATTTACTGTTTAAAAGCATCCTAAACAGACAACACGGTATTTTACCTTAACATTTTTATAAAGTATAACACACTTGTAAGGTTCTATTTCAAACAAAATATTTCACCTGTATTGTTTAAAACTCTCAATGAAATTATGCTATTATTCAATATTTATTTTGATCTTCTGTTAGGCAAAGAGTTGCAGCTGGCACCTGCAGAGGGCTGCAGTTTACAGCTCTTTGTTCAAGCAGCAGCATTACTGATTTTGACATGTACAATGAGCACAGACTCCACACCTGACAAGAAATATGACGGGCAGCCATGGTGGGGAGGATTCAAACATCTGTTCCCTGTCCATGTTGTTCTGGGTGCCAGTTGCTAGGCCACGCCTTACAGGACTGAGCAAGAGGTTTGCACTGCAGGAACTGCCTCCAAATTCCAGTGTAATTGTACACAGCGCATGCCCACGGACAGCTGGAACCTACTTCACCCCTTCTGAAAGAAAGGCTGGTACAAGATACCAAGTGACACAAAGTATTGCCCTTGCCCACCACAGGCTTTCACCTCACGTATGTTTCAAAGACATCTGATAAACTCTCCCGTTCTTGGTACTACATCTGCATGAGTTTTCTGCCTCTCAACTTTTCTTCACTCCAAGCACTGTTAACATCCCAAACAAGGCACAGAGGCTTGTTTCAGACCCACAAACACCAGCCTCAGGGGAGCATTCAATGTCATAGATGCCTGTGAATCTTGTCCAGGCTTGTACTTCATTCATTGGGTGTTCTGGCTAAGATAAAAATTGCTGCATCCCAGGCTAAGTTCAAGCACAAACAAGTCTTCAGTGGTAATTGTGGCTGTTTTGCCATAAAATTGATGAGGACTGAGCTGCTGATGGGATTAAAAACCTTTTTCTGTTGCTACACAATTCTGTTCTTGAAACGAACACATGCTTTGCACCCTCTGTTGCATCAATCTGAACCTTTCTCTTTCTTCTGCCATCTTTTGGAAATATCAAACATCCCATGAATTTTGCAGCTTCATTTGGTTAGTGTTAATGGCCTGATGATGCCAACACTTAGCTATTGCTTCATTCTTTGGATTAAATTCATTCTGTAGTTACAGACGAAGGTATCAGCAGGAATCACACTTGTAACAATCCAGAGTTACCAGTGCCTAGGGAATACACAGGGAATCCTTAATCTCTGTGTTATACAATTCCTATTTTTCCTAGGAAATTCCTCCAGTGTCCTTTCCCAAGTACTTTCCATCTCCATTCTTTCTGTTGGTCCTTGAAAACATCTTATTTTTCTACTTGGATGTCTACTTATGATGTTTCTATGCAGCTGAATCATATCTAAAACAATTCCTCCTGGTATCATTACATTCTTCTTCCCAAACTTTACAGACTTTTTACCAACAACATCAGAGAGGAAATTGGCTGAGCACTAAATGGATTAACAGCATCTGTCTCATTCGTAGCACTGTGCCCTCAAACTTTTCTAGCAAGGTTTTAACAACCACCTGATACTTTGAAGTCATATTTACTAACTCTTCATGACTTATCTTAATCAGTTAAATCACTGTTGTCAGTTGCACTGTATGATTACTAACTCATTTATATAATTATTGCCTAACATAAAAATCTTAAGAGCAAATTTCATCGTACATCTTGCTCTTTGAATTTCTTCAGCCTATTACTTCTCAGTTGCATGCCACACTAGGATTCTTCCAAAAGAATGTCGTGATCCAATTTAAAGACTGATGACTTGACATCATTAGTTGTCAAAATAATTTTAATCATCTTTTCTTTTGATGAAATTGTTTTCAACTTTGTGTCTTGCAGTCAGGAATCCACACATAGTACATTAATGCAACAGCTTTTGGCACATCATAAATATTGATTTATCTTCATGAATTCCATGTTTTAATCTTCCAGACCTATCCAGATGCACATCTAAGATATTTTCTTAATTGGCTTGCTTATAATTGCAGAGATGCCAGCAATCTTTCTATGAGGTTGTTGATTTTTATTTTCTTTGAATAAACAAAGATATTTTCATATGGAATGGGAATTGCTCTTAGTATGCAACATTTTCTATTTCAGAATATTTAGACTTGAGGCCATCGTTCTCACTATCTACCACTGTATTTTGATTATTTTCACATTTAATATTCACACAGTAAAAATTTCCACAAGAAAAAAGCTTCAATGGCCACTATCTTTCTAGTGATGATGTCATGAATGACCATTTTTGTGCATTTTGCATTGATATATCTGAATACAAGTGATTTATGCTCATGCTTCTACTCAGGAGGTTTTTTTGTCCTTACTTGACATTTGCCTCATATGCTACTGGTCCCCCATCCCACATCTTCCCTGACTTCCCAGAAACCTCTCCCTTCTCAAGATTTACTGCCCTGCTCTTTGGAGAACTTTTTTGTCATGCACAAACTGCAGTGCTTTTGATGATAGTGTCTCAGTCTGTGACATTTTTACTCTTGCTTGAATTTTCCATAATTTCCAGAAGTGGAATCTAATTGTGGATTCTGGCAGTTCTCCAGATGATGCTCTCTCAGTTTATGGCCTGAGAGGACACTATCAGTATCAGGAACTTCTGAAGTTTATCGCAGAACATCCAATGTGAATTTTATATGTGCTGTGGGTTTTAAAAAGATGTCTTCTCTCTTTTCACACTTGTATTCTTTTGACACAAGTCTACTAAAATTCACAAATTTATCTGTGTATTGTTTAAACTTCAGATAAAAATATTAGTATCATATAAACAACAATACTAGTAGTGGGTTTATAAACAAAACTGGAATCTTGGCTTTAGAGACCCTCTAAGCCATACAAATAAAACCTGTTAAAATTACACAACAAGCTTGAAGTTTATTTACAAACTACAAGTGACAACATATGCTGTTTGCCACATCAGATGACACTAGCTGCCACATCAGCTCAAGGACAAAAATCCTAAGGTATGTTCATAGATCTGATGAAAACGAGGATGCTTCCCTCATTAGAAAAATCATAAATGAGACAGAGAAGTCACTTAAAAGTCAAATCAGAATTACATGACTTCTGCAGATGAGACTCTGCATTTGGCTGCCTCTCCATGAGGCAGTTAGAAAACTCAATGACATTTAAATCATCTTTAGCATCTTATAAGGCTATAACTGCCTTATACAGACTCTTCTCTAAAAGAAACATTCTTTCAGAATCCAAAAATGTTAAAAATAACTAAATGGCTTTGAAAGAAAAAGGAAGAAATTAGTCTCACAAAAACTGCAACAAAGGGAACGACTAACTCTTGTTTTAAGAGCAAGGACTATTGCCACAGAGAGCAATAAGAAAGGAAGACAAAGAAATGTTACTTCCTAGAGTTCAAAGCTAACTTTCCTCCTTATCCATGGGGAAGTGATAAATGGAAGAAAATGTGGAACAGCTGGAAAGGATAAAAGTATCAGGAGACACAACAAAGCAAAACATTCCCCCAGATGAACAGATTTCCCTTTGATCTAACAAAGATTTGAAATTTGTCCGTTTTAAACAAAACAGAAAATTAGGATATGCAATAGACATCTATAATGGATAGGAGCAAGATGAAAGGTCTGAGATGAATTGTTACTGGTATGAAGTGCTCCAGATTGTTTTTTTTTTCTGCTCTCACAACTAGGTAATTACTTAGCTTCCTATCCCATTAAAACTGCATAATGAAAGCTGGGCTGCTTTTGAAAAAATTAGCAGTAAATAAAGATTGCTATTTTATTATTGATAGTTATTTTCGTAAGGATGCCAATATAAAATGGAATATGTTACTGCTGAGAGAACATCAACAGCAATAACCTGTCTTGGTGAAAAAGTTTATGATCTAGACAGTAATTATTAAATTGTATATACAAACTTAATTATATGTATAGTTGCTGTATTACCTGATTGTCTTCTAAAACTCCCAGATTAAATATTGTTCCCTCAGTGCCTGCACATCCTGATCTCTACAACAAGCAGCAGTAGGCATAAATCACCCTTGTGTTCACTCAAATCATAAAAACAAGACTGTATTATTATCAACAACCACCACAATAATATATATAAATAAGTAAATGCTATTAGTCCCACTACAAGGCAAGAAAACAATCAAATGAACCTTCTTAGGATATTTTCCTAAAGGTCTATATTTTTATTTGTTTGCTGCAGCCCCTGTTACTGATAAATTTTGCATTTGCATCACCTGCTGTTTATCACCTGCTGTTTCCTGACTGGCATGTTTCAATAGCTCTTCACAGCAACCACCTCCCCAGATCTGTTTGCCTCTTTTCATGTTCCTTCTCTCTCCAGAGCCAGTTAAAGATCGTGTTCTTTTATTCACATTTCTGTTCCAACAAGTGGAGAAGGTGATGCAACAAGTCTGATGTTTATTTACAAACTGCAAGTGACAACATGTGTTAATTTAGCTGATTGCACCCAGCAGAAAGAGGCATTCCAGAACTGACCTTCTGGAACAACAAACCAATCTGCACTTGCTCAGTTTCC